TACTCCACAGTTTGCTTAATGTTCTTATTTAACTTACAATGAGAATAGCAACAAAACATGCAATGGTTGTGTTCCAGTCTTTGTAAGATGATGCTTTACCAACAAGGACACTGTAGAAAATGAAATCTCCAAGACCAAGCTTAACACCCTCTGTCAATAAACACATCACATAAATTAACACACAAAACAATAGGCTGAAAAATGGGGAATTTGGMCACAAATAGGTAATCAGATAGTCCTTGYTKCAGTTCAAAGTTGCTTATGACTGATTGCTGGCATTTGTACATATTAGATTATATTGTGTATGTCTATGTACACCAGAGCGATATGTATATGTACCATCCATGTATGGCAGTCTTAAGACTCTACTCGATATCAACCTACTTTCTTCTTCTTCATCATCATCATTGTTCTGCTGTGGAGCTTCATCATTTCCATTTCCTAGATTTCTTACAGCCTGTTGAGCATCTTCTGTTGTTGGTCCACTTTCATTAGATTCACCAAGTRGGCCATCGCACTGTACTGATGAATTRGATTGGCCGGAAGGCTGACTATCTTGATTTCTATCAGCCATTCCTACTGTCCACATCATAGTAGCTTTGTAGGGACAAACAATTGTTACTCAAATATTATTCACTCACTCGATACATCAATGCTCCATAAACCAGATCTTATTCAACAAGTCATTGGACAAGTTGCAGAATAATCTCTCAGGTCAAGAAACAAGAGCTAGTCAACAGAAACAAATCAGTTTGACCAGCTTTCAAAGATCAAACTTGAGTTATTGTGAACATGTCAGTCCTGATCTACATACTAAAACATCAACAGGGAAGCAAGAGTAGTCATATCAAGTACAAAGCTGTCAAAGGCAATACATGTACATGTAACTTCATGTTCACAAAGTAAAAATACATAGCAATAAATTTGAATAATAATCTTACAAGAATAGATGAGAGATGGGAACAATGGCTCATCTCTTTCCTGAGCTGTTTGAACCAATATTTTCAGGGGACCTTTTGGACATAACACTGCAAATAAATCTAGTAGAAACAAAACAAATACTAATATTAAAATATGTATTATACAGTAGCAGCAATATAAGCATTTATTGGGTTATGCTATGAAATAATGAAATTGAAACATTTTATCAATCACTATCCATTGCAAGTACATACTTCTGTTTCATGGGTTCAATGTGTTTTCTCAATGAGCTAACAAAGATTGAACAGAGATTSAAAACTTTCAGATTGTAGCAAGCTTTGTTTGGATTTGCTTACCATATAAAGATATTGCAGCTAGAATAGCCCAAGTTGTCCAGTCTGGTAAGTACTTAATGAAAACCAGAGCCTAATAACAAAATTGCAGTTAAAGTACGTAGCCTTTTTGATAGTTTGAAGAAATACTGTGAGATAATCAACACTACAATGTAGATTCAATGTTTTCTTACCATAAGAGCACTGACAAGAATAAGRTAGGCCTGTTGGAGGAGTAACGGACCTTTCCAGTGAATACAAATCATCCCCACRACCCCAAAGTTCCAGATTATAATGGACAATGTAAAATAGTCCATGGGAACATTGTACACTTTTAATAGTTCTCTGCAAAAACATTACAATATATTGTAAACAAATACAGAATGAAGCATCTCAATTCTAGATACAGAAATACTGAACTGCATTAATGTCATATCAAGATTGGTGCTGACAGTATTTGTATTTTAGTTATCATAGTCAAATGATTGGTGAAATGTTATTGTTTATTTCACCGGTAAAAGCAAGGATGCAAAAATGCTAGAATATAAGAGGCGACTACTAATGCATGAAAATGTTTATTGCTTAAATAATCACTTYTCATTGATGCTGATTATTCATGAATATTTTATACTTACTGGAAATAAATGTACCCAAAGAAGAAAAGGAGTAGCAACGAAGATACTACCAACCAACCAGAAATTATCTAAAAAAACAAATCCAGTTTACTCAAGAAGGACAACAAAAAACTCAAAGGTAGTCATGGCACAAAGCATGACATTGATACCTCAAAAGCCTTATCTATTGGAATACTTACACAGTAGCATCTAAACTTGTAAAGCACCACTAATATTATTGTCAAAACTAAAACAACACCAATGACTATGAATGCATTTGCAATGGCTTCACCAGCCTTTTGRGCACTGCTAATTCCATTTTCTTCATGAAACGGAGTATAAACCCTGAAAGATCAAACACATGACTGTRAGAAAGATTAAGCAGAGGTTTTACCGTCCTTTGCATTGCTACACAACTAGTCCAGGTAAATGTTCACAACTGCAATTAGCTATWGAATRCTGTCAATCAACTTTGTTTTGTGKGATRAATGGTTTTAGTAACTATAATGGCAAAATACTTACAAGTAAGTGCCATTATTTTCTGTATAATATGTTACAGATGAAATAGTTGCCACTACAACCAACATACAAGTAGATACTGGAATAATCAGCATTAAAACACTTCGTGCYCCATATTTRAGCATTTCCTCTTCATCATCTTCACTAGTCGTGTCATCTTCAAGGCMAGCTCGTCGATCATCACTYAATCGTCTCCTGGGTGTTTCTCTTTGCTCTCTGTCAGTATTGGCATCATCGTCRACATCCTCTGMATTCTAAAAATGATTGTAAATTACCTCTAAAAACCCTTCAATCTACATCCAGTCACTTAGCTTATACTTCTCAATCACTTATCTCTACAGGGAATTGCTTTCTGTACAATAACATGGGATTCAAGAAAGCAAATCTATCATCAAAACAACTTCTTTCAAGAACACATCATTTTATACTGATGCACAGAATAAACTAAACATACCAAGTCGTAAATCGATTTGTCAAACATTTTTTCARTGAAATGCATWATTTGTGRTACATGCTTTATAATCATGAAAAAAAMMCAAGAACACTAACATTTCTTTGATATTAAACCCCAAATGATCACACTGAAAMTTTACAGAACATGSTACAAAGCATATYCACGGRATAAAAAGTGAAAACTCGAAAAACAATTTTATCGTTTGACACGACCTCTGTCCCTTCAACACTAACCCTCAGACGATTATGCCGCCTTTGTGGCGAAGTTTGTGGTGATTCGTCCGCCATTAATCTAGTCGTTTCATCAACAAAGTCCTCATTCATTGATCATCAAGAAGAAAGAACTATCATAGTGTTAATTTAAACAGTTTAACAACAAAGTTTCGAGTTTTCAGACCCGTTTGCTGAGAGTCATGGCGGAAATCGGCTCTTACGTCATTGGCGACTCCCTTCCCAGTCTTTAGGAGTCAACCACAGGGATCCCGCAAAAACCATAACAAGCTACCAGGTGACAGGAATTTTATCGACGTACTTTTTTTTACAATGATCAGAATAACATCTCCAGAGAATTTTTAAAGTTAAAATAATATTGTAGAGTACAAACACTAAAACTGTGCAACATAAATACCACTAAATACTGCTAAATACTGCTAATTCTATTGTTTTCTATTGTTCAATTAATACTATTTTGTAGTAAATAGTGGAAAGTGTTGCACACATTTAATGTTTGTACTCTATAAATTTGGAACTCCCTAATAAAAAAAGTGAGTGGTAGTGCTGAAATTTCACCCCTAAGATGGATCAATCAATAACAGGTCCTTTTTTATTCGGGAGTCCCCCCTCAAGAAGGGATCTTTAATTTATACCAGGTTTTCATTGTTGTGGCTACTCCCATTATAATGGTGTATAATGACATAAACCACTAGAACAGATTTCATATGACTGTACAACAGCACGGATCACAACACGGACACAGCACAGTCACAGAACCTCGCCTTTTAGGATTCCAAATAAAAATAAAGATTTAACAATACATCACTGCTACGGCACAGTCTGGACACAGCGCGAAAGTACTGTGGTTTTTTTTGCACAGTCATACGAAATCCGCTCTGTGGTAATGTGCAAGCATCAGTAATGACTGCACACAGGTTGGACATTTCATTTTATTACAGCATTTGTGAAATCCCATTTTTCAGCTAAAAATCAGATAAATCCCTGTTCCTTTATTTCCTTTTACAACATTTGGAGGACCCTCTTTAAAATTTCATTCAATTTCAGCAGTTTTAGGTGATTTTGTACCATAGTCTCTTTATCACARTAACACAAATAAGCTACCATGAGAACAATTTTATTTCAATAAACATAACATAAGCCTGCTGTATAATATATAACAATACGTTTTTAGAGACTTTTATCAGAATTAAAACTGAAAGTTTCAATAACATCACATTATGCAACTGCATATTTTTATTAACATATTTTGTCAATCGTCAGAGAGCATACATTATACACRTCAAAGTTCTAGTCTGGTGAAGTTCCTTTATTTTAATCATTACATACCAGACAAGGCTGTTTATTTCTCTTTGTTAATAAATAGTCAWTATTTAACTATTAAGATAGGAATGCAAAAAAAATAAAAAATAATTCTGACCCTTTTCTTTTATCTTTATGGGAAATGACAATAATATTATTGTTCCCTTCCAGCATTGTACAACAAGAGTGAAAATCTTTTACTCAATAATCATATAATAAAAATGATCAATAAATGATTGTAGTTTTGATAAGCTCAAATATATTACCTTGCTACCCTATTTTAATAACTTAATGGTCTTCAAACCCTACTTTAATGAGCACCATTSAAGCCTTTCACAACATCCTCAGTATTCCTTAGCAGTTAAACTTTTTGATCCATAGCTTGATTTTCTTTATCTTATATCAAGAAAAGATAGATTATCAGACTGACAAGTTTCCAGAATAGCCTTTGTGCTTTTATACTATTTGTATTTAAGAGAGCGATAACACTAAAAACAAAAAAAGTGCAAATCTACAGTTATTTTCTATGTGAGAAATAAAATTATTATCAATCTTATTCTTTAGGTATCAAAGTAAAAAAAGTTCAAACACCCTTCTAAACATATATAACGTATTAAATTATTTCTGCAGGTTCGATATACAATACACAAATTGAAAACCCAATATTATTTCAGRCTTAGTACACCTAATATTCTTTTAAAAACTTTCTTTTTCTTGCACAGACCTCTAAAAGGTCAGTCTTTCATCAAGAACATTACAAGATTACAAGTCTACACACCTGAATGGACTTTCTGTCCTTCRCTGGTAGGTTTTTGTGTGTTGTCCACTGGGTTTTGAGAATAAAGAATGATGGCATACGTGACAATGATAAGAGCAATAATGGTTAAGACAGTAATTGGAATTCCAAATATAATCCAACTAAGAACTGCAGTGAACATCAATTCCAAGGCACTGGCAAATGTTTTCAAAATAGAGTTCAGCTTTTTCAAGAAGAGAGAGGTAACAATACCAATAGCAGCATTGTTAAAAATGATAGATACTACATTGACAGTTAGAATAGAGTTGATACTTTGTGATGTGAAGGCTTCTTGAAGAGTTCCTCTATAAGTCAACAATAAGAGATTGCAGAGGATTGAATCAATATACATGAAGACATTCTGTATCATCAAGGGAGCCTCTCCACTTCTTCCTTTMAGCAGGTATTCATTGTAAACACCAGCAAAACAGGAACAGAAGACTTGAACCATGATCAGCACCAGGTTTTGATCTAATTTAAGACTAAGACCAGCTGATTCACTACCAAATTTCAGCTGTTTGATGATGCAGCCAGCAGTCAAAAGCAGCAAGGAAACCCATTGAACACGGCTTAGCTGTTTGCTGAAAAGTATCTGATAAAAGATGTAATTTAGAATTAGATCAGGATTAGAAAGGTAACACACTGGAGTCTTGTAAGCCATATAAACAACCTATCCCCTTCTCCATAACAAAAAAACAAGCTTTATACACAAAATGAAGAGTGAAATACCTGAAATATGACACCAGTTACCACAACACGAAACTGCAGCAGCAGGAAATATGTTGTGGGATCGTATGCACTCAGATTGACAAAAGCCAGGTTGTTGTACAGACAGTACAAAAAAGCTGGAATCATGTATAGTACAAGAACTAAAAAAAAAACATGATGAAATTATTCCTTTATTCAATTATAAATAAACAGTTATTATTGATTATGAAATTCATTTTGTAATAATCATGTGACAACGTAAAATGTGAGAAAATGTACATTCATCATGGAAGATGTCTTGGGTAAAAGACCAATGAACAAAACCATACACAGAGTGTATAGTTTCTCCTTTATCTTACATGTAAATGTTTCATTCATGTAGGTTAAAAACTATATATCCAGGTAAGTGTCCAGACTGTACTGTTGCCATGACAATATTGTTGGTAAAGTTGTTTATGTTTAAATATATTAAGTTGACAGSCTGTGCCCCATAACAGAAAAATAAACTTAACAAACAAACCTTTAACATGTTCTCKAATAAGACCAAACAATTCAGGAACTGTTGACCTGAAAGATAAGAACATTATCAGTTGGATACCACTAGAGGTCATTAATAAATAAAAAARATATTTATTTAAAGTGTACATTCTAACTGAACATGGTGTTCCAGGGATGTGAAAGACCTTTTGAGCTACTAGTCCAGGTASCCGATACTTACTCTCTCAACTGCAAAACACATGCAACCAACAGCTTGACGGTCTCAGTGAACATAACAACTGTTGTTGTGTTGTAGTTGTAATGTCCATTCTTGTCTTTKGAAGCAGTTATAAGTAAGCCTAATTACAAACCAACAAATGTCAATGTACATAGATAAAACGTTAAACAAACGCCCAACTACATTCATAGAACCACCAAGAGTTYCCCTACCTTGGTTGATAAACAATGTCATATACCCAATAAAAATCATAAAATGAACTTTAGTAGGAAAGAGATTTTTTAGATCACCAACAGAAACATTCAACATGATGGAACTGAAACCCAACTGCTCAAGCTAAATCAAAAATCACACTGTGTTCGTGGCAAAGCAGTTTAACATTGCAAATCAACCCGATACGTGAATCGAAACACAGGAACACCAAAGCTCTCGAATAGCGATCGATAAATGATCGGAAACYTTTCGTGATGACACCTAGCACCAGTCCTTTCTCTCATCTAGCTCGCGTTTCCTGGCAACAAAGGTTCAAGTAACAAAGTAAAATGGCGGCACAAGAAGTATCTGCAGTCCTTGGTGAAAAAAAGCGAGTTAAAGTCTTTGTTAACCATGTTGACACATATACGAGCAAAAATATAAGTAAGGTAAGATCAGGTGTAATACGTTTTAGTTTTTATACGTGTATCATGACTCCTGCACATAGAAATTCTTTAAACGAAATGTAAGCAGCGAACTAGGTAGTTAGAAAGCTTTGAAGTTCAATTCTGATATGTTATAATAAAATCGTTTTCTAATTCATCATAAGAGTATCTCGATTTATATGGGATTTTGTTGATAAAGGTGCTTGCAAAGTCGGTGGTTGGCGCAACAGCTGAGGAAGARCCAGGAGATGAAGAATCAGTTACTAGCAATGCTCCTCAGATTCCTACAGATGATTGTTATCAGATAGTAGGAACTCTACAAGACTCGACCAAAACAAAACCTGACTGGGTAGATGAAGTCTTTGAGGTTAGTGATCTATACKATGCGCGTCGGTGATATATATTTTTATTGATCACTGTTCATCATACTGCTTCTATTCTTCTCATTCTCATTTACTTCTTTCTTTGTTGTTGTTCATTATCATTGTAGTTTCTTTGTATTGTCAGTTTTTTAATGTATTTTCTTTTGCAAYTAGTACAAAAGCAAAGAAGATTTGTTGCCATACCTCCTTCAATGTGACATAGTGTTGTATGATATCAATGGACATCCTGATCAGGTTGATGAAGCAGCTTGGGCAGTTTCAGGTTAAGCATGACTTTTATAATATTATKTAACAAAAATGGTTTATTTCAACTTATTTAGTGCTCTGGTATTAGCATATAGGCTGAATAACAGTTATAAGGAATTCTGCATAAACTAGATAATGTGCAACTTTAATTCGCCAAGCTTTTTTAATGACTTGATTTTTAAAAATTTAATAAAAWTTGTTACTCAACATCATTTTTCCTTATACAGCACTTCATGCAGAGCTGGAGAATTTTAAAGACACCAAACTTTTCATTTGTGTCTCAACTGTTATGACCTGGGCACGTAGTAAACCTCTTGATCCAGTAAGTACAACAATACATTGTAGGTTGACATTGTGTCTATGGAAGATTTAGATTTATCTGGTTGATAGCACTATTGTATAGCATATCCCATACAATGTTAAATTGTTGTGTGATTTGTATTTAGCAAGTCCTTCATAAGAAAAATCTTTAAAAAAATACTACAGTATTTTACCATTAATATCATGATCTTTGTTGTAGGATGACCCAGAAATTCCATTTACAGAAGATGATTATAGACGTCGTCGTGCTCATCCAAATTTCAAATCCCATATCAGCACAGAGAAACTTATCATCAAGTATGGCAAGACTAACAAATCTAAGTTTATAACTTATGTAATTGCACCAGGCTTGACATATGGTGCRGAGGAGGATATTTTCCATTTCCTGTTTAAGACAGCATGGCATGGCTCTTCTWCTGCTTTACAATGTTTTGGCCCAGGTGATAATATTATACCTACAATACATATCACTGATCTGGCTGGTGTTGTAGTGAATATCTGTGATCAGCGCCCAAAGGTCCGGTATATGGTTGCTGTTGATGATTCCAAGAACACACTTGAAGAGATTGTTAAGGTAAAATAATCACATGAAAAGATGATTTTGTATCTTTTATAGTAACTGGTCCATCCTCTTTTTCCCTGTCACTTTAGGCAATCAGTATGTATTTGGGAACAGGAAAAATTAAGAAAATCAGCAAGGAAGAGGCTCTTCTTATAAAGGAACTTGAGGTAACCTCACATTTTGTTTCTTCTTAAGGCCTGTTTACACTTTGTGATTTTTGCAGCACAATTGTCACGTGACAATTGCCACTTTGTTTTCACTCACCTCAAATTGTACATGTCAACAGCCCTGCCATTGTYGCGGCGAACAAAAAACGCCGTGAGTTGCAACCAAATTTCAAGCATGTTCGAAACTCAGACGATTGTCACGCAACAATCGTGCTTCAAATATCGCAAGGGTAAAGAGGCCTTTAGCAGTTTTTGCTTTGTTCTTAGAGTATTGACTTAATATTGACCATTCTCTTTGACAATATATTGCATTATTATTGTAAATATGATTAATTCTTCAATATTATTTTGTGATTTCTCACAGCAAGCTGACTTTGATATGCTGTTGGTGAACATTCGCATGGAGGCTACATTCATCAAGGAAGGAATGGCAATAAGCTGGGTGGCAGAGGTACRGATGAAAATAACATTGTTTCAAATTCAAAACAGCTTGTTTTGAAACCTTTTTTTATTTTAAAAACATTTATGTACTTATAAATGATGATTAATGGGACTTTTATTTGAAGACTGGGCTTGTAGAAAATATTGAAAATGTTATCAAAGAATATAAAGAGTCTCGAGGACTTCTGGTAGGTAGTTGGTAATACATCTTTATCTATTTTCTTTCTATTCTTTGTATGAATTTCTGCTTTTTTTTTCAGCCAATCAGAGCATGTATCGTTGGACCTCCAGCTTCAGGGAAAACTCTTGTTGTTAAGCAACTCTGTAACTACTACAAACTTCATCACATAAGAATCCAAACTGTCATTGATGAAGCAATTGAAAAACTAGTGAGTAATTAAAATTAGGGAAATATATATTTCTGAGTATTATATATATATATATATATATTTCTGAGTATTATTCAAAATTTATCTCACACTATTTCATCTGAGAAATTTCTGTATGTGTTGTTTTTTGTTGTTTAGCAACAAAGTGCAGCACGAGCAGACCAAGAAGGSGATGATGAGGATGATATCAAAGCACAGGAAGACCAAGAACTACTGGAAGCACTTATTGAAAGCAAAGAGCAAAACAATGGTATTCAATCTTATACGTATATGTAGAAATATAAATAAAGTAATGTTCTATATGAAAATTGCAGCCAGGAATCTAATAGCTCTCTTTAAATGCAGGGCGCTATGARGACCAGTATGTTATTCGCTTTTACCGTGAAAGGCTTCATTCAATGCCGTGTCAGAATCAGGTACRTAAACTAGTGATAGCTTAGGTACACTACACTGGTAATTATAATTAACAAATAAATCATTTCCATTTTTGCATTTAGGGTTTCATACTTGATGGTTATCCTAAARCATATGAACAAGCAAAGGAGCTGTTTGCAGGTATATAATGAATGATGTGTGCATRCAGTATCTGGAGTTTTCTCATGATTTTTTTATTGATCAGCTGATGAAGAGGAGGCAGATGAAGAGGAGTCACCTCTAAGCTATGACAAAGTTACAATGCCAGGTAATTGTGTACACTTTAATAGTCCTCCTATGAAGAGATGTCTATCATTAATGTAGAGGCCCACATAGAGCGGATTTCGTATGAGTGGGACACCGTTACYGCACGGTTACCGCACAGTTACCGGACCTGGCCTGCACAATYWTGGTGAACCAATGAGACACTAGAATTTGGTTACAGTAYGATTACGGTCACAGTACAGTACCGTCCGTTTCCCACTCATATGAAATCCGCTCTAAAGAGAAATTCATGTAGGTTAATTCAACAACCTCAATAAATGATAATGTACGATTGCAAAAAGTCAAGATAAAAAAACTAACTGTAAAATGTCTTGATTTCCAGAGGTTATCATATCACTTGACGCAACTGATGAATTCTTAAAGTCAAGAGTGATGAATCTACCAGAAAGTGTAGTTGCTGGTACACACAACACTGAAGAAGGTAAGACAAAACATAATATCATCATCATATTGTCATCATCATCATATTGTCATCATCATCATGGGAGCCTCTGCTGTTCATGCAGATGGAGAGATCATCGCTTGAAATGGTTGCACCAGTATCCAATAAAGTGATCGAACAGTAAACGTCTTATCCAGTTTAGTTATTTTAACTGAATTTTTCAGGTCTGATGAGACGCTTGGCCGAATATCGGACTTTAAACACGGAGGATGAAACAGTTTTGAACTATTTTGATGAACTTGAATTCCATCCTGAACACATAGGTATGACTCTTTTGCAGCTTTAGAACAACTTCATACAGTACAGTATGCACAAATATGTCGCCTTTCAGCTGTTTTCAAATAAACGCAGTGCTTGAAATCTTTCTTTTTCGAGAACTCTAYCCTAGTGGAATGGATGTTTAACAAAACAATCCATAATTGTAGACCGCTTTAAATTTTATACTATTACACCGTGACCATTAGGTTTCGTTTTAAAGGTTTATTATTTTCACTCGAATGACTTTATATGTTTGTTTTTTGTCTAGATATATCATCAGATACAAGCGCTAAAATGATTCATACAGTAGAAGCAATCAAAAAACTGATGGGAGAACCGCGTAACTATGGTAGGTACTACATTTRAAACGAGAGTTAAAAAGTTGATATATTTGATGTTATATCCACATTGTCTTTAATATAGGCCCTACACCAGAGGAAATCGCAGAAATGGAAAGAATTGAAACAGAAAAAAGAGTAAGTGTAACAATGCAAAAAATAGCTTGATGTAGCTTGGTATTATAATTTCGGAAGTAATTACTCCTGTGGTTGATGATAATTGACAAATCGTTTTATTTTAGTTGGAAAAAGAAAAGAAAGAAAGGGAAAAACGGGAACGATTAGAAGCAGAAGAGGCGGCCATAAGAGCSCAAAGGGAGGAGGAATGGGTAAGAGATTGTAGTTGATACTGTAATATAAAGAGGCAGATATATTAGTACTACTAGCGACGAGAAGCAATACATATACTTGTAATATACGCACATGCAGCGTGTTTTAACAATTTATCAAACTGAAGTGAATAAAACTAGTATCACTCTCTAGAGTGTCTGTCAGTTTAACTCAGTAAAGGCGTATTAGTAAGCTAGTACCAACTGTTTCTTGAATCGTTTCTAGCGCGTAAGGCTTGCAGAAGTCAAGAAGCAAGAGCAAGACCTCCTTGAAAACCAGTCCATCCCCCTGAGAAACTACCTGATGAAACACGTGATGCCTACCYTGTCACAAAGCCTGGTGGAATGCTGTAAGATACGGCCTGACGATCCCATTGACTTTGTGGTAAGTTTAACAATGATTTAACATTTTATGTTGAATATACATGGCGTCCTGTTTTACGTGTATTCAATAAAGAACTCTGAACTGTGGAAAGTGTGTGTTATGGTGTTCTATCAATTTTTTTTCTTTTTGTTTCAGGCGGAGTACTTGTTCCAGAATAATCCTCAAATCGACTAATCATTTGCAGTTACTTGTATATGTGTATATAGTACAATATTTTCCTTAAGCAACTTGGCTAGGATAATTGCGGTTATGTAATTTTTTATTCAATAAAATTAATAAGACGTTTATAAGACTCTTTCCTTCCGTTTTCCACGTCCAATCTTTTTGATTTTACAGTTTCCCTTTTTTTGACTTTTCTAAAAACATTATTCGTCTTGACTTTTTCAAACCTTTCTCGACTGTCTTTTTGACACTCGATCTTCACAATTCCATCAGTTACCATAACCGGAATAAGGTCTTATATTTTTGCACATTCAACAAAAATGAGAACCTCGTCATTCCTGACGAATAGTCAGTCACAGCAAATCACCGATGACGTTAGCAACGTTAGTACTTATTCAATGAGCTCTGAGTTGCACAAAATTCTCAGTTCACAATACGAATGCTAGTGATTGATTTTGATTGATCAAAATTATGGGCCATGGAAAGAATTGCTTGTGTCAGTTGCCGCTAAGTGACTTATGCGTATGTGAAAACTTGTAAGTAGTTCAATTTCAAATTAATCGTATGATTAAGTAGCTGATCATTGAAGAGTGCTCAATACATATATAGTGTAGAGCTAGTTATATATAATATCAGTTTCAAATTACATACTATATAATTAGTTGTGGAAACTTTTTTTTATAAAACCAAATATGTGCCATTCTTGATATATCAATCGTACCGAAAATTCCACAAATTACTAAGCAAAAGAAAGAATTTTTAGGAGTTTTGTGATTTTTAGAATCACTCAGTTCCAGTCCCTCAGAGAGTYGGACGCYAGCTAGTTGATTTTCACGAGATTATTCTCAGTTTTGACAAGCGTACCATACTATCATTTTCGTGCTAGATTATCCTGAGTGGTTCCTGAGCGGTAAAAGTGGGTCTTCGGGTTCTCTTTTTGTGTGTGCTTGCCGTTCAGGATTTCCGGTGATATATCGGCACAGTATCGGAAAAGTTTCGCATTTTTTGCCACGTCGTCTGGAATCGATGACGTCATGGTGTTACTGAATTGGCCCATCCCCCCTCTAAGGAGCATTGTTAGCACCACGCCAAGCTGACTGACCAACTCTCTTCCTCTTTCTCAAGAAATTGGCCGAAACACCGGCATTTTTATACCTTTTAAAGCAGATTTACGTTAGAGAAAAGGCCAAATCTGCTTCATATATAAAGGCGTGTGTTCTAACTTATCATGTCAACAATGAATCCTGAATAGTAAGTTGAAAAACATGACCTACTCGATGTTTTGCTGTGTGGTGCCAAAATGGAGAAGTGAACGATAGCTCGATCTACGTGTAACATTTGAGGGGATACATGTAATATATTTTTCTTCTTGTAGTGATTATCTGTTCAAGTTACTACTGATTGGAGACTCTGGTGTTGGAAAGTCGTGTTTGTTGCTTCGTTTCGCGGTAAGCAAAAATTTAGTCGGTCCTGTTGGTCCCACCACCCGAAATGCAATGATTGCCTAATATTTGAATCCATAAAATCCTATAATTTCGTAGTATTTACGTTTGAACATTTCTCTGCAATAGGATGATACTTATACAGAGAGCTATATCAGTACAATCGGCGTTGATTTCGTAAGTATTAATTACAATCTTCTATCGATTAGTTAATAGAAATTTCTCTTGAAATTCTTGTGAGAGGGATTAGAACTTTGCCCCCAATCATCAAAACCTTAATTTGGTTTCGTTTTTTACACTTTTAGAAAATCCGAACTATAGAGCTCGATGGAAAGACAATTAAACTACAGATTGTAAGTTCTAAAGACTGTAAAATCATTTGTATTCTAATGTAATTTTTGCATATTCGATAGTCCTGAGGAATGACGTCTAGTCTTGTGACTGCGATATTTATCAATTAGTCACTAATGGTACATAAAGTTGAACTTCTCTTGTTTTGCTCCTTTGTAGTGGGATACGGCTGGTCAAGAACGATTTAGGACAATCACTTCTAGTTATTACAGAGGAGCCCATGGAATCATCGTAGTTTACGATGTTACAGATCAGGTRAGCTTATTTATTTCTGCAACGTCACAGGTTACCTAATAACGTTATTATAGTTTTGTAAATAATCGTACGAATTGCTCTGTTCTCGAAACATTGCAACTGTATWGTTATATAATGCATGAACAGTTGTCAAGTTTTCCTGCACCTTGTTGACTTAWTAATTTTCCCATCGTGCTTGTTTCATTTTCTACAGTTTTTTTATTGTGAAAGTCATACATTGTACAATGAAAGAATATTTGTTCATTTCTTATGTAATAGTTATAAAGTTAAAATTAGTCATATTTGTAGTTTCAAGARTAGAYTTGTATTTATTCCAATGATTATATWCWTGTTCATAAATGTTCCACACTCAAACCATGTTGTTATTTCTACATTTCTATTTACCAATCATACCTTATATTATGTGTTCTAGGAATCCTTTAATAATGTCAAGCAATGGTTACAAGAGATTGACCGTTATGCATGTGAAAATGTTAATAAACTACTTGTTGGTAACAAGTGTGACCTGACTACAAAGAAAGTTGTAGATTTCACCACGGCGAAGGTAAAATACAGCAAATGTTATTTCATTTTCCTTGCAAACTCCATTAACCTCCCRTGTAGTTGTTTATTGCCCATTCTTTGGATTGGTTTAAAATTAGTTTTAGAAGAAGTTTTGATCTCAATCATTTCTGGCTTTGCCATGGTTTAAAAGTTGTTCTGTTCAATAATCTGTACTCTTATTTAGTAATAAATACTTTCAGTAACACTGAAGCTTTCAACATTTTCTAATATTATACATTAGCAGCAACATGACCAAAATGCGTATTGGTTTTTTAAACTGTTTTTGATAAATAATGTTTTAATTTTGAGAGCAATAATTGTATAAGAAGCACAGGTTTTAATAAAGTTYTCATCTAAGTAGCTGACAATCAACACTTGATGGAATCCATTTATAGCATTCAAATATTTGCCACTAATCTGTACAGTAATTCCATTCCGTGTGATGTACCTGTGTTTTGATATTAACAATGGTTTATGTTGTTAGTAGAATAMTACTAATTGTGAATGTGTTCTTAAAAAACACTAATCAGAAATAAGGAAAATATTGTTTGCCTGCAGTAACCTATCAAAATCAGTTTCTTGTTTACATTGTTTTCAAACCTGTACAAATAGATGGCTTGTCAAGTGATGAATGTAACATTTGCTTAGTTAACATGATATTTTAGTTTGCACTCTATACTCCTTAATGTYGTTGCCATGTTTTGTTTTGCACATCAAATGTTGTTCATTATTCAAGTTTATTCATGTAATGAAACATCRACATTTCAATTGATCAACAGGAATATGCAGAATCTCTTGGTGTACCTTTCCTCGAAACAAGCGCAAAGAATGCAACAAATGTTGAACAAGCTTTTATGACTATGGCTGCAGAAATTAAGAACCGTATGGGTCCATCACCTTCACCTCAAGGACCTGGTAGTAACGTCAAAATTAACTCCAGCACACCGGTTAAATCTGGGGGAGGAGGAGGCTGCTGTTAGTAGTGATACCCCATGAAATATTAGAACCTAAAGACTATGATTCAATGCCAGTGTCTTCATTGGAATCTAAGTGGGTTACTGGCAAAGAATTGACACCTCTCCTCAGAGTTCTCATTTTGCTTTACTTTTCCAGTTAATAARTGAATTATTTTAAATGTTTTCCAGAAGTAGAATTTCCAGGGTGAGAGCACTAAGGAGATGAGACTTACCCATTCCCCAAATGTATCTTTCAACCGTCAACAGACAGTATGTGCAACATATATATAAAGCCCGTTCATGTGCATGCATGTCACGAAAAACAAAGATACAATCATCCACCTTTATCATTTCAAATAGCGTGAGTTTTTGTAAGACGAATAAAAGGAATTTAAATATAACTAAATAGAATAAGGATTACCTCCTATAACTACTAGTCTGTGGCAGTGCTGGTAGATGTATGTGGCAATAATAAAAGTGCTGATTATTTATCCTTTGGGGTTGTTATCATGTGTTWATGTTCGGCTAAATGTAAATTCATAAATCTTCAGATACTCATTAATGATAGCTCAATTGTTAGTAGTATTTAGCTACTCAGAATGAATAAAATATTTGTGTTTTACTAGACTATTGAAACTATATTGTCAAAACTACTTTTTTAAAATGTATGAAATCAGTAAAAAACATTGCACAGATTATAACAGTGTAGAGGATGTTTATTACTAATACAAACTTTCACTTCAGCCATGCACAACGCAAAATATTATTCTGACTTATTTTGTGTTGGCACCAGATTTACACAGTGAATAAGTTTATAACTCTTTGCACAAACTGCAAATGGTCAATAGCCGCGGGACAAAAAAAAGTCAGATTAGGTGCAAGCAATGTCCCGTCAAACTAGAGTTTCACTTAACTGACATTTTTACCACAAATTGTTGAGCAGCTCTTATTTTTTAACACTGAAGGGTTTTACCTTAAGTGCATCATGGCATAGAGCATTGATGGAGATAAAAATTTTATCTTCTTGATAGCAATCATTTCGATGTTCAATATTCTTATTAACTGCCATAATTCTTTTGCAGTGAAAAGAAAATAACTACGCTCTTCTTAGACACTAGAGTGAATACACTTTCAGTGAAACACAAATAGTACAAAATAGCACTACATGTAAATTATACTAATTCCTTTGTTGATAGTGATYRMACTTTAACTGTGCAACTGAWCAAACTAAATAATGCTATTTAGTTCTTTTTAGTAAATCATGCATGCGGTATGCAAATTAAATTGAATAGATAAAAATGAAGCATTCAATACTGTCTTGCTTYAGGTCCACTTTTAGTACAAATCAGTACTACTTAGATTTTGTASAGTTGCACAGTTTAAGTGCAATCACTCTAACTTAGAGAAAACAAAGTATTTTTCACAATTTTTTTTAATGAAATTTTCAGTGAATTTAATTAGCAAGCTATCAATCAATGCTAAAAATACAGTCATTATTCAACCCAGTGATAATGCTTTTGCATGTACCATGGCAATTGAAAGCAACTAAAAACTTTAGCAGAAGTTCAATTTTCTAACATTGTCTTAAATGTGARGCACAGCCCTATAAGCGCAAATTACTGGCAAAATACAATACTTTGAAAATATACAAAATTATCTTTTTTGATAATAAATTAGCAAATTTATTAAAAGTATGCAATATCAACTGTCAAAAATTCCCTTGACAGTAAAGACACCAAACAATAGTTTTCATAATAAAATGAAAAAGAATATTATGATTCAAGCAGAAAGCAAGGTTAAATTTCAGTAAAATATTTTAACTATTATTTCTAAGTCTATGACATTAGCAGGACACCAGCAGCATAACTAACAGAAGTATCATCAGTTGTCATACACTGATTGGACTGGGAGTACTTCAAAAAGTTGAATGACATTTTTGGAGTTAAGCCATTCAGTTTTTTTAACTCTCGAATGGTCTGAAAAACAACAAAAATAAAATCAAACACTGATATTTAAAAGATTATTACTCTGTTTCAGAATGGATAAGCAATAAGGGGTTGTTTGGAAGCAAATTTTACTGCATTAGATAATAGGCATTTCCATTAGTCAATGGTTTTTCAAAAACTTARCAAGAAAAAATACGTACACTCAAAAAGACACCAATAGGATAACGTCCACATATTGTGTTGGAATATTTTTCAATGTAACTTGAAAAACCAGCAGCATCAAGCCGTTCAATGTGATCCATACCCTAAACAAGACAATTTCCTAAATTAAGGATTTTYCCAATCACAAATCTTGTAGGAGTGGAAAGTCAGAATAAAAAAGTAGATAGAGAAAATGTGTTTCATTTTGATATTATGATAGAAAAGAATGATAAAGATATACAATAAATTAAACTAATTGAAAAAGAGAGAAAGGTCAATAAGTACAAAGTTCACATGTAATAATCCCAAGTTCTATAATGTTTTTTTGTATGCTGACAAACTTAAGTACCTTTCTATCTAAAGCTTCAATAGACTGATAAATGTGATGATATTTGGAGTCTCTGTAATGGTAACGAAATCTCTTTCCTAAAAACCACACAAGAAAGTTTGTTACAATAGATACAATGGGGCAGAGAAGGGACTTGGTATAGTTAGAAAACCTCTCAATTACATACAGCTGCAAATGTTTTTGAACTKTGAGCAGAAACAAAGTGCGTGATGTTTACATGTCGTAGCTTGACTTACCCCAATGACAGAAATCTGAAGATATTACAAATAAGTTCTCTGGATTAAGTAAATATTTACTGAATATCTCTCCATATATTCTTTCTTTCTCTGGAGACAGTGTACCAACAAGAACTGGTACAATAGTAAATTGATCTCTTTTACTAAAGGAAAATAATGAGACAAATAAAGTGTTATAAATACCTTGTCAGGAAAATAACARAAACTATTTTATATTTTGACCACTTGTTTGGGGACATTTGGCCACACAACAATGTGTTTGATAACCCAATGAAGTTTGAAGTATGAAGRGGCTTACCTTTCCATAACCTTGGCTATATAAGGAAGATGCAGTTCTATGCTATGTTCATTTTCATCTGTAGATTTAGTCATTCTATCAAAATGTCCTGTTCTCCATAACTCATCATTAACTGTAAACAAACTGTGCATGTCAGACATTGTTATTTGTTGACAGGGGATCTGAGATTAGATATTTTACCTGCTTTGTCTACTTCTAAATCATAAAAAGGTGTAGAGTAATAAGAACAACCAGTCAAATCACAACCATTTAAGTTAACATGGTGAGATGGACCAAGAATAAAAACACGCTTCCTATGGATGATACAGAAAAGGTAAATAAAAGAAATAAGATTAAAATAGAAAGTTAGTTTAGTGCAAACTAAAAGTTTATTATCATAATTAACAATAAAAAAATACCTAAAACAAATAGAGGCAAACTAAACAAAAACTTCTAGTATGAGAAAAAATGAAAGGATACTTTTTCTGTTTTTTATTGTCATGTTTTCTCTTTTTTATCTATACATCTTTGCAGGCCCAATCAGTGATACTTCACCTGGCAAATCATATCATGTTTTATTCTATATCAAATTCTGTTGTATATTGGTTCTGTTTGCAGAGCAATAAAATATTGCCAGCTATTCTTCTCTGTCTTTCATTCTTTCTTAGAATATTTAATTTATTCTCATTTTCTTTCATGCATCTTTCTATTATTGCTGCTATTCTGAAATATTTCTTTGTCTTCTTTTGATGTCCATGAATCTTTTGTTTGGCTAATTTCCCTTCTTTTTTTCTACACTAGATTTATATTCAAACAAAAGTCTGCTAATTCACAATCATCGCATTCTATGGTATCCTAGCAATCCTATATTCTTGCAGTAAACACAAGTGCTTCAACATCTGCTTCACTTCTTGATGTAAGCATGCAATTTGGAAAATATTCCAAAATGTTAAGCTCGTCAACAAACACGACTTACACTCTAGCTGGGTCAACTTGTTTGTAAGCATAGGCACCACAAGAACCACAATAAACATATCCAGCATGCCTAGATAAGATAAAGCATGATTTTGTAACAGTTTGGACAAATGAGAAGTTTTACCAAAAATAAACATGACTGCAAGACAACAAAAGACAACAATTTTCCTCTCAAAACTTACGGGGCAATGATTGCTCTAGCAGGTCCATAAACTGTGTTCACATCGGACAACCATCCTTGAAGCTGCTCATTCAACTCACGCGCTGTTTCGATACAAAAAAGAGAAAAATTAGCCTTCGAGGATAAACAACCACAGGTGAAAAATTTATCGCGAGACAACAAAAAAGAAAAATTTCGCTGTCCCTCACCGTTATATGAATACCAACTTCCCGCATGCTTCGCACGACGCGTTGCCATACTGCTCGACTGCGAACACGAAAAGGGGCAAAACGGATACGTGATGGCTGATTAAAGTGAAGAGAAACTAATAATACTTTTGAGTCAAATTGCGTGCCAAGAGACTGCCTGTGCTTCTTCTTCTTGCTTGTCCGTGTGAAGAATGAGACGAGAAATAAACTCACAAGCATGAACAGACCAACATCAACCGCTGGTCTGTACACAGGAAACCCAGGCCAAATACAGATAGATTTCCTTTTTGGCGGATGTCCGCCTCTACTATAATAATGCTATTACTAACAAAGGTTTCGCCATTCATCTTAAAATAAAGAAAATAAATGATACTAAAATGAAAATGAGGAATATGAGTGAACTTTGAATGTTTTTCACACATAACATAAATTGTTCTCTCTTACAACACCATTTATTTTGATCAAGATGTTTTACAACAGCTTCTATTCATTTTATTTTCATTTTATTTTGCCATTCAGATTATTGGTTTGGTGATGAAGAATTTGTTACTTGCAATAGTTTGGCAGTACTTTGCACCAAAGCACAACAGTGGTAGAAATTCTCAATTTATATGATTTTTTTTTTGATGATATAATATTATTGGCATCTATTATTCAAACCTCACATAGTTTCAGTTCAACGCAAATACACAATTATGTTAAGTAAGTACAGAAGTGGAAGTGACATTGCTGTAACCCAACAACATTAATGAAATCTGCAAGCTGATCCACTGCTGATTTTACAATTTACTTTTTGCTGGTAAACATTTACCTAAACACCACACATGATCATTACCGCCAGATACAAGTCTGGACAACTCTCTACATCTCTCACTTTCATCACACAGTGATAATGATATAAGCTTTTTGATTACATTGACAGGAATACTGAAATTAATATGGGGAAAAGATGCCATTGTAGTGCCATCTTTAATGTTACATGTTACCATCCCTAACAGTTGTCCAGTACGTCTTGATATAATTGCACCTCCACTTCCCCCGCAATGGACTGCAGCTGTCGTCTGTAGCATGATTGGCATCCCATTACTAAAAGAAACTTTTGAGATGGTGCCCATGGTGACACAAGGTCCATGGCATGTTTGATGTCCAAATATTGAGTAGCCTATAGCAAAAACATCAGAGCTTTGCTCCATCTTCACAGTCTTACTTTCTTCTAGGATAATGTCAGTTTTGAAATCATGACTTTTAACTTTTAACAAAGCAAAATCAAGAAAACAGTCAGAGTCAGTTGCATGTAAAATATCCACAATGTCATAAACTTTGTTATCTTGTATATCATGTACCATAAGTGGAACACTGAGCCTATTGGAGGTCTCACTATTGTATACCCCTCCCTCGGTCAGGATATGCCTACAAGTGATGACTAATCCTTTATTGGCATCAATGACAATACCAGAGCCCCAGGTAGAGCCAGCTTGAACCAATACCACAGATCTTAGAGCCCTGTGAAAGCTTTCATTTTCACTACATGGTTCTAAGTCTCTAGGTGCATTTCCAGAAGCTGAAAGGAGAGCTTTTAATGCTTTTCCTGATGGATGACTGTTTTCAAGAATATTTGAATGTAGGAAGTTTTGCAGAATATGAGAAAGTGAGTACACCAATGTCAGACCAATCCATTCACCACTTCTCCAGCAAAATGGTGCTACTACTATGCCATAAACGATCATTTCAGTGCTTGAACCGATGAACACTGGACAGCCCTCATTGCCTGGAACACATCGTGCATCAGTCAATATCATGTGATTATTTGATCCTATAGCATTGGATACTATTCCTTTACTTAATGAATTGAAGAAAACAGAATAACATTCAAACCCAAAAGGGGTACCAATGATGGAGAGTAAATCACCAGGTTGTACTTTCGTATAGGTAAGCCTAAACCTTTGAACTGAATACTTTGAAAGGTGTTTAACTTCAATCAACACAAAGTCAGCTAAGTTAAACGACGAGTTTTGTTGTTTGTCTGTGTTCTCTTTCTCAGATTTTTCCGATTTCTCAGTTTCATCTATTTTTCCAGTTTCAAATGACCACTCTCCTTCAGGAAAGATCTTCCTTTGCAATTCGTATAGACTTGCATCTCTCCATAAAGCTATGACGGATCCGTGAAGCGTTAAGAAATCTTTTTCTGAGACATTTTGATTTGCATCTTTGCAAATTGATTTCAATACAACTTGTATTGGGGGAATGTTCCCCAAGTTAATTGGAGAGATTTTTTTTCCCTTTTCACCAAGTTCATTCCCAATGTTAGCAAAAACCCCATTAGCTATCGAGCCTACGGTTAGAACTAAGCCGGAATGTGAATCAAGTATCACGCCAGAACAGCTGAAATCMTGTGATTGAACAACCACACCACACTCCACTTCGTCCGCCATTTTGTTTTGGCTCAAGTATGGCCAGCGGCCTTCCCAAGCATGCGCACATTGCAATGTTAGCATTTCTATGGCGGTAAATTTGAGTTTGTTGTCAACGGCTAGAAAGTAACTCCAAGTTATTCGCTTTTCTCGGTTCTTGATAAGGAAAAATAATTGAGGAGCCGTCCTCTATCCAACTTAAAGTATTTGGATGAATAAAAGCGGCGACATTTTGGGTTATTCCACGATGGAATCTGTTAGACAGCGAAATGACCCTGACTCGGAAAACAGGTAAGTTAGTTATTTCTAAGTAACTCTTGTAGCTCCTTTGTTTTTTCATCTACATGTACGTCTTATCACTAAAAGCTTACTACTAAATACTTAAATGATTTAACTTTTTAACAGACTTTCTCTTGGTGGTAAAAATAGATCAAATCGACGTTCATCGGTGAGTCGGTCCCTAATTACAGAAATGTGTTGATAATCTTATGAGCTTATTAAGCATCAACCATGCCAGTTAGTCATTTAGCTTTATAGAACGCATGTGAATGTTACACTCTGTAATTTATGATAAAAAACACATTGTAGATGTGACTGCATTTTACGACAAACTGTTGGTTTTTTAGTATCAAAGCCGTAAAACAATTGAAAAATTAAGTTTTAACTTAACTTACTTAAGCTTAATTATTAATTTCAGATTCTGAAAACTTCCAAATCTCCAATGAAAGCTCTTGAAGATAGAGACCCTAATTCTATGGAAAGTGACAAAGAAAACAGGTAAAACTCTTGTGTTTTGTTCTGTTTTCAGCAAAAAAACTTTAGTGCTATTTGCAAAACCTACATGAAGTACTTATCATTGGAATTGATTTACAAATTAATAATCCTATGTAGTGTCTAAAATATCTCATTTAATTTTATAATATGTAACCTCTCTATTTCATTGCACAATGTTATGTCAAGTATTTAGGCTCTTAGAATAATATCTTTTAAAAGGTATCCAATTAGACTTTCAATCCCTTAAGATATTTATTTAGTCACATTAACCTCCAGGGACATGAAATCCAGAAGGTCTTCCAACAGACGAGTAAGCTTTGCTCAAACCTACGAAGTCAAGTAAGTGATGTTAGAAGGCTATATTGAAGTTTGTATTGTATTAGTTTAGAGCTGAGGCTGACGGCTAGTATTACAGGAGAGCCCTGTATGGTTTTATTGAATCCTATAAAAATAGGATCACAAAAGTGGACTGTAAGAAGGAGAGTCATATTATATATTATTATAAATCTAAGTGAAAAGTCACAAACCTTTATCTCCAGGTCTTTTACATTTTTACTAGAGTATGTTCTTACCTTAAATCCTACACCCTGCCCTGTATTAACATCATGCCAGTCCCTGGGCATCACCTATTTTTATTTTCAGGGAATTTTCCAAAGATGACGGATGGAGTGAATGGGAAAAAGCAAGCATATCAAATACAGGTATTCAAAATTGTTTGTAATCAAGGAGTTTTAGTGGATCATTGTTTTGTGAATTTATGTTTATGACTTTAAGTAATTTGTGTTGTATTTCCAGATAAAAAAATAGAGAAAGAAGAATACCTTCCAAGGTAGATTGAAGTTACAGATAGAATAGTAGTTACCAATGCAAAGTTTCCCAAGCCTTGTACATAGCCTTCCAGTAATATGCTAATCAGCAAATACTTTTCTTTTTAGTGAATATAGACCAGCAAATGTTACAATTAAAGGTAAGCCTATAGCCCTTCCATTGTGAGATATTCATTTCATTTGTGACAATGATATGGATGTAGATTTATCATTTTAACAGAAAGAGTGAATTTATAAGTTTATTGGAAGCTAGCCATTTAAAGTTATAACAAACAATACAATATTATTGCATCTTTTTTTCTGTTTAGGACTGGAATCCTTGCTTAAAGGAGATATTCAAAATCCAGAAAGACAACAGCAGGTATGATAATATTAGTAATGATTCTTTGAACTTCTACTTTAGAATATTAACAAATATGCTTCATATCTTTGTAGGCTGGATCTGATATGGATTTTATCACATTCTGTACCAGTGCTTTCAATGAACCCAGCCAATCAGACTTGAACAGAACTGTTGGCTTCAGTAATGATGATACACTTGATCTAACATGCCATGGTCAAGGGGTAATTGACCATGAAAACAGAGGTGATTACTGGTTCATTTGGTTTTTAGACCAAGAAAAGTGTTCATTAATGCATATGTTGTTTGTCTGCTATGTGAACCAGGCTTAACCTGAGCATACAAATTTAAAAAAAACTTCATGTCATGTGTTTAAAATCAATTTTTTAAATGAATGTTTCTTGGTACATGATGTTAGGTGGCTTTATTTGCAGAGAAGATGATAAAATAACATGAATATGATTTCTTTACAGCACCAAATGTTACTTCCAATTATGACAACATGGACTTTACAGTTTGTCAGCCCAAAATGTACTCAGATGAAACTGCTGATTCCACTAACAGAACAGAACATACACTAGATATGACATGTCATGGTCATGGAGTAATCACTTCTGATGATTGTTATCAAGGACCCAAATTCTGCCCTAGTTCATTTCTACAATCCTTGGTGGTGAAGCCATCTCAAGAGTTTGTCCCTTCAACTAGTATATCTCACACAACAGCACAACAGCATCAAGTAACAGCTCAGCAACCTCAAAAGACTGATGCTGCAAGTCTAAGTTCAACTGAGCTTCCAAAGCAAGTTGCTTCCCAGCAAGGAAGTACAAATGTGCCCAGCAGGTCATTCCTTGAAAGTCTTGTTACTTCAACACCTTTCAATGATGATGAAGAAGAAGAGATGGAAATGACAACATGTCTTGAAGTACCTCTTGAGACCACCAATGAAACAATGCCAGACTCCTCCATTGTCCTTGAAGTTGGACCACAACAACCAACTTTGTCATCCAAGCCCAAACAGGGAAGGATGTTTTATGAGACACAGATGGACATGACCAGTTGTGTGTCATCCTCTATGACGCCCCAAGGACAGTCTATGGCACAAGTAGCACAAATGGATATGCCCTCTATAATGACTCAGACACATTCTGTGGCACAAGGGATGGGTCATGTCCCACTTTTAGCAAGGTCCCTAGGTAATTCACAAGAGGCACAAATGGACATGACAACTTGTTTACCATCCTCTACAAGAACCCAGGGACACTCCATGGCACAAGATGCACACATGGACATGACAATTTGTGTACCATCCTCTATGAGAACCCAGGGACACTCCATGGCACAGGAGGCACATATGGACATGACAACTTGTGTACCATCCTCTACAAGAACCCAGGAACACTCCATGGCACAGGAGGCACACATGGACATGACAACTTGTGTACCATCCTCTACAAGAACCCAGGGACACTCCATGGCACAGGAGGCACACATGGACATGACAACTTGTGTACCATCCTCTACAAGGCCTAATGAACATCACCCTGTAAAAGACGCAAAAATGAACACGGTAGCTGTTGTAGAGTCACCTTCAAGGACCCATTCTAAGATGCCAGAGACACAAATGGACACCAGTGCCTATTCTCTCTTAGTACAAGAAGACCAAGCTTTACCAACAACAGCACGTGATATTTCACAACCATCTGCTCAGCAGAGTAACAATTTTGAAGATAAAACCACTTCATCTCCTGCAAATCCTTTGGAAGATGTAGAGGAAACATCTCAATGTTATCAAAAGATTAACAATAAAGCATGGACAAGACCATCATGTATGGAGACAGTGACAAATGATCCTTCAGATGTTATGACACAACACAATCAACCTCACAGCAAGTCTTTCCACAGTTTCAAAGAACATTTTAATCAAAGTTTATTGAGTCATACCATGCCATTACTTGGATCTCAGAAGAAGAAGATATCCAGTTTTCAATCTCTTCCTGCACTTTCAAGCTTTATTCTTCAAACTAGTGAAGCAAGCTCAAAGGAACCACAAATTACCTTTGGTCCTACATGTGATGTCCCAATAAGTCAATTCTGCTCACAAACAGCAAAGAAACAAAAAATAACACATGATACCCAGAAAACAATTGCAGCTGAAGAAGCATCTATTGACCAACCAAGTAATAATCATATTTCAGAGAATGACAGTTTTATCTTCAGCAAGCAAGACAAGGAATGTTCACCTGATAAAACAGAGACTGTAGTACATCCAGATAATATCACCTTTCCTTTTGAAAGTAAAGAAACAACAGTTGATGTAGGTAAACTGTCTTCTGTTGACACATTTGTGCTTGAACAACAAGGACTACCTCAACAAATATTCCAGGAACCAGATGGTGGTGCAAACATTACAAGTCAGTTTGAGAGAGAAGCCTTGGAGCAACAGTGTGATGATGTAGTGGTTGAACAAGATGGAGAAGTATCATTTAAGTCGTTTTCTCCTGACAAAGATAAGACAGATAATCTGAATGTAACGGAGACCCTTTCACACTCTTCAATGGTGGGTCTCATGGATGAACCTACACTTGAATTTTCATCTGATGTCTTAGATGACACAGTTGAACAGCCTAACAATGAATCAAAGGAATGCAACATACCAAAAAGTCCAGAAAATACTTTTGTGTTAGGCAAAAAGCCTACCAATTTATCTGTCATTTGTGAAGAGAATGATGCTGACTTCAGTAAAAATGCAAGTTTCAATGGAAATCAAGAAGAAAGTCGTGTAACAAGGTATGAATCAATCCATTATTCCAAGCTACTATTTCTAGTTATATTTGTCAATTTGCGGGGCTCACTACATAAGTGTTATTGTTACAAAATTGCTTTTCCATTAACTTGTCATGGTGCATTGTTTCCATTTTTGTTTCTGTTGTGTCCACCCATTTCATTTTCTAGTCTTTAATTGTTTGATTTAGCTCATTTCTTTGTGTGTTTAAATACCAGGAAGAAGATCACTGTTGCAGAACTGCTGAAGCGAGCCAACATCTCTTTCAAGTGTCCCATTCTTCAAGGTTCAAGGCGAAGTATATTTGGTATCATTAAAAAGGTAAATCTGCTTGATACTGCTACAAGGAAGATTTCTTCTTGGCAGTTTATAGTGCTTTTTATTTGGGATTTTGTGCTAATTTGTGACTTATGTTGCAATCTGTATTGGATACATTATTTGATATATGATAATATTTGATCTGAAATCTATTATAAACGTATGTGCATTTTTAGCCTGAGAAACCAAAGGAAGAAAAAGAGATGATAAAATTGTCGTTGGCACTTAAACCCCAGGCATTACACTACAGTGAGTTCTGTAGCAGTGTACAGAAAGATATTGAACAGTAAGTTAAGCCATCAAGTAGCAATGTATTAAAAAAAACCTGAATCATTTTGAAAATAATTGTCATTTTTTTTTAATTAGGCTGAAAACAAAAATAAAGCAGCAAGAACAGGAACTGGATAACTCAGAGACACCTATATTATATTATACTAGCGAAGATGAGGTGAGAGGTAGTATTTGTTATATTATATTATACTAGTGAAGATGAGGTGAGAGGTAGTATTTGTTATATTATATTATACTAGCGAAGATGAGGTGAGAGGTAGTATTTGTTATATTATATTATACTAGTGAAGATGAGGTGAGAGGTAGTATTTGTTATATTATATTATACTAGTCAAGATGAGGTGAGAGGTAGTATTTATTGTAAAAAGACCCTTGTATTGTAAATGTTCACCATCTTTTTTAGAATTTTCCTTGAAAGGGATCCTTCCTTCTCAGCAGAATCTTTCATAGACTGATAGAGGTGAAGCATTCCTAGGATATAGGATATGGAAATGGTGTTAAGGATTTAAATGTAATCTAATAATGATTTGTATGACCATGGTGGGGACAGAAGATGATGGCAATGTTAGAATGACCTTGCACAATTGTAATGTAATCCATATTAACATTTAAGATGACTCAGTTGGCAAATAAACTCAAGGACTTAAAGAGAACCGTCTGTAAGGAGAGTGCTAATGCTAGATGGATTGAAAGATCTGGGGTTATGAAGAAGAGACTTGCTTCTGTCTTGAAGGTGAGTCTTGTCTACTCCAGTTTCAACATCTCTTTTAGGTTGCCTTTGCATCGGTAAAGCATACAATTTTACTGTACTGACTTTACATTCTTGATTGTTTTCAGGACAACCGAGATCAGTTGTCCAGTGATGTAGCTGCAATAAAGCAATCTCTTGCTTTAGCTAAAGACTGCAATAACCTTCTTAACAACAGTAAATACTGATACCATATTTCACAGTTTCATTTTATTAATGATATTTGTATAAAATGGTTTGTTTTCACTTTATTCATTGATATGAGCATTAATCTATTCTTGTTGTCATTCCAGTTGATAGTGAACTTGATAAAGGAATCCTAGCTCTACGAGACAAAATAGAAAAGGCAAACAAGGCATGTGCTTTAATCACTTGAAACTCTTCTTTATTAAATTGTCAGTTGTATTTGATGTCAAATTAATATTTATTATGTTTGATGAGTTATTAGGCAATTTTAAATTCTCTCTTAATTCCATACTTTGTATTACCACAACAAAACTTTATGTTCAATGATATAGCATTTTTTTAAATCATAGGAAAGTGGCAATATTGATGAAGTTCAATCTACAATAAAACAGAAAACCAGCGAGCTGGAGTCTCAAGAAACAGGTACACTAGACTGCTTGTTTTTGCAATATTTCCATGACATTATGACTGACAATCGTGCTGTTTGTCTAGAGTTACGCCTATTAGAAGAGCGACGATCTTATTTGATAAGGTAATTAAATCATCATTCTATATCGAATTCTATCCATAGTCATCTATTTATTTATTCATGCATTTCATTGTTTCACTTGTACAGCTCAAAGGAAACTCTAACATCGAAGAGAGAAAACGTAGAGAAAGAGAAGTTAGAACGTGAAGCACGGTTAGCAAGAGAAGAAAGCGAGGTAATAAACCTGATAACATTGTATTCCTATTTTCTAAATTATGATCTTTTTAATGATACCTTTGCACAGCGCTTATCCCAAGAAGAATTATTTCAAGAAAAATACAACGTTTTAAAAGGGTATGTTTAGAATGAACAAGTTTTGATTTCTTTGTTTGTCAGTTTTTAAAATCGTTTAAAAATGATTCCACAGGATTCTTGAGTGGGAGTTAGACGAATGGGACCAACAACACGCAAAGTTCCTATTTTTGCGACAAACTCTCGAGTTGCTTGTGATGTTTCAGACAGGTAAGACATCATACTGCAGGTCGAGGAAGCGACCTTATTCTTCTTCCATATCCGACATCGTCAGATAAAACTATGGTCACATGACAAGTGTTTTTAGTTTAAAAACCACAAACAAACAAACTGTCATTGTTCCAAGTAGGTGGAGACCGAACTACTGTCTCTAGACCAATCAAGAGTATTTCTCTGTCATCGTGTCTTGCAGGTATCTGTTCTTTCTTATTGATTGTTTGATTAATTGACTGGTTGGTTCGTTGATTGATTGACTGGTTGGTTCGTTGATTGATTGATTGATTGGGGACTGAACTGATTTTTGAGAAATTAATCGACTATGTTTCTACTTCAGATGACAGCCACATATCAGCAAAATTCGCTCATTCGCTGATCCAAAAGAGTTTGGATATGAAGACGTTGGCTGAGTTGAGTCCAACATCGTGTTCCTTATCGAAGGTATTAATAGTAAAAGCCGTCCAACCATATATCACACTCAGACAGGCATTTGTAATATTTATTTTATATGTAGATGTATCTATTTGGTTTGAGTGTTTTAATGTTGTTTTATTTAGGCTCTTGATCACGTGTCTAGTGTTGTGGTTAATGCACGAATGATAGGTGATGAACTGTACAATGTCAGCTTTAATCATGCCATGACGATGAACGACACCAGGTAAGAATAAACCCTTTTAGCGATCTCTTTTACGCTATGTTAGCCTCAAAACCATGTAATACATTCTTTTATTCGCTAACAGTCCGTGCAAATGCAAGAGAATCGTGAGTGTAGAAGACAATGGAAATAGCTTGAAAATCCACGAGTTTTATTTAAATTTATGAATATTTTGCGCACAATTGAAGCTAACACAGCGTAAAGGAGATCGCGAAACTCAACTATTACAACCAACCACCTCGGTAATGTTGAATGTATGCAAAGTCGTATTAACATAAGAAACAATCTGAACAAAATACGTTAATCATTTTACATTACAATTAAATTACAAAATTGCAAAAGAGTTGGATGAAAAGTGAAAACTGTGTTTTCACAATATCTTCCTCCATCCCTCTTTGTTACGACTTAAAATCACCTCAACAACTAGTTAATTTACCACTAATTATTGATTTCGCACGTTCTTTTCAGAGTTTCTATTATGTTCTCAAGCATGAAAGCATTCATGAAATTCTTTGTTGAATTGGATGTTGATGCAACGAAGCATCCTGACAACGTTACAATTACAGTGAAGCCAAAGATTGGTCAACTATGGTACGTGCTTTGTTATACAATGGGTGAACGCTCTAGGGGAGGAAGAAAAGAAATGGAGTGCGAACAAATTTCCTCCCGATCGCCTAGAGATGTCGTATAGGTTCTATACTTGAATAGTGTGATCTGCGTTAGGGTTTCTAATGAAACCAAGAAACTGAGAAAACTTCCCATTCCTTCGTTGCAAACGAACACCTTTTCAGTGGTGTCGCTCTCATGACCGTTGATAAGCTATAAATGATTGCTACAAATGATTGACATATCAAATACCATTCACATGTAAGTTAACAGGGTTTTTTTTTGTCATCAGCTGTGAAGACATTATGGCTGCGCTGAAAGCTGTTTCTATTGGTCCAAAATACATCACTCGTTTAGTAGACACTGGCCGACTACTCTTTGATAAGAAGTAGAAATTTATCGTCGGTATTTATTACATTCAGTACATACACATTGGAGAGAAGTGTTCATCATGTCGCGTAGAGAAGTCTTTTCATGCATCAATGAAATGTATAAACTTTAGAAGGCGTGGCTGATCATTGAGGATGGAAGGAAAAGCCTGGTCTTGTTCGAATTGTAGAAGGTTACGCGATTGCTTTAACTCATTCCCTACGGTGATAAATTTGTCAATTTTGTAGTTTTTTTGTGTGTTAGACTTCCATAAATTGCTTAACTTCCAAATAAGGCGCTGTCAATCAAACTAATGTCAATTCAAATACCTCAGTAATGCAAATTTCAATAACGCACGGCGAATTTGAGACACCTCGCTAGATTAGCCAGCACTCGAGCTCAAATTCGCCAAAAAAAGGTTTATAAGTGCATTTTTTAAGTCATTTGCTGCCATAGAAGCCCCTAGGACTGCATCATCAAGCTCGACTAGGCGGCAAAGACAGCCTTCTGGAAGAAATCAGAGGTGGAAAGCGATTTTTCGAAGAAGACGGCAACAAAGCGAAGGTCTCTTTGAATTGTTGTCGTTAGAGAAAGGTCGTTTCCCTAGTCATTCTGTGGCAGATTTCGGAACCTACCAAGGTAAATTTGGCAAGTTTTAACATCCAAAGAATGCAGTCGATGCAATATTTTGCCTGTAGGTGCGAGTGACTTGGCACTTCTAAAAAAATTACTAAAGTAAGATKACTGGCCATTCCTTGTCTCATAGATGTCAATATTCCCAGGGTGCACTTGGGTCGTGCATTCGAGAAATGCTAGTTTGTCGAGGTGGACGTCAAAGGTGCGGCTCTTGTATTGCCTGTAGAGAATTATTCCGAATAAAAATCCCTAAATGCAAGAATAGGAGGATGTAGCTCTTCAAAAATGTCGATATTGTGCTAGAAAAGCATGAATTTCACGTTGCAAATTAAGTMAAAAAAGTGAGCTTTTCGCTGTTGTCCCAGGAAGTGCAAAATTCGGAATTGAGCATCCACGTCAAGACAAAAGACTTATTCGACCTAAAAACTTGATTTCCGAGACATGCTTTTAATTGGAATATTGAACTTGTTGTCTTGTTGTCTTGTAAGAGCAAGTTTTTCAGAGGCATATAGCCATTTTGGGAAATTATAATTTTTGGAGTCATCACTCCTGTGGTACTGATGATACCGATGGCCGTAGGGAAAGGGTTAATACCCAACGAACGACTGTATTTCATGTTTAAATGCCGTTATTTTAGTGTCGAAGGTCTCTAGTAGACGTGTGGTAACATATATATTGACTATAATATATTAGCTGTTTACTATTTACTTGTGCTTCTATTTTGGATTGGMTTTAACAATAAAATTTGACATTTTTGTATCATACTGCAACTCGATACGAAGCAAATAAAACTTTCATTGTTAAATTTGGTTATGGGTGATTACTTTTCAACAAGTAGAAAATATGACGTTTTCTGAAAAAGCTGGTTACATGTGGTACATGTTGAGTCGCCGAAAGGAGTCGTTCACCAGTGATTCCGTGATTTGATAAGTTCCTTTTCTGCTTGCAGGCTTAAATCATTACTCATGAGCTCTATTGAAAAACTTTATTAGGAAAATATAATAATAGATAATAACATACACCTACTTGCAGAAACGTTGTCAAAGAAAATAGAACATTCGAATTTAGTAAAAAGGAATAAATTAGAACAAAACAAAAGAAAGCGTTCAGCCTCGGTGATCTTCTTCAGTCTTTTTTAATTTATTCATTTTTACTAAATACAAATGTCCTATTCTTTATGACAACGTTTTCGCAAGTAGGTGTATATATAGAACATATCAAGTGCTACATTAAATAAACGTAGAATGAATAGGGAATGAGATCAGAGGAGGTTACCTCCTTCGTGGACTTCCCTAAGTCAAGGTTAAGTAAGTTAAGCAACTCAATTTGCTGCTAACAAACGTGTCTATTGTATTCCCATCACCATCACGACACCGGAAGGATAATGCATTGAATTATTTCTGGAATATAAAGCTAAATAGATTCTAGTAAAAAATATGTTAGTAAAATATTTCTTTAAATATTACAATCATTGATTGCAGTGACCAACCGCGATGGATTGTCATATAAAAAATATTTAAAAATAATAAGTAAAACGTGTGATTAATAGAAATAAGTAAAAAAAAAATCGGCTACCATGAACTAAATATACACAAACTACCATTCGACGTTCACAATAATATTAATAATGATAATGAGTTTTATGAGAAAAATTTTGGAAAAAGAAATGATTTAAAAAAATCCCACTCTTACATCACTGAAACCAATTTGCCTTGCATGACGTAGCACACTATGGCGTCACATTGAAATCCACAGAGGGATCATTAGATGGTGGGAACTACAACATAAAGAAACAAATAGTAAAACTAACACCTGTGGCAATTTACTCAAATTAAAATAAATGATTGGAAATCTTTAATTTGGGGTGCCAATTTGGAGTTTCTGGAAATTTGCATTTTCTGCAATCCATTAGGGTGTAGGAAAAGAAGATCGAGCAAGGGCGCATCGATATTGGTTTTCCTCTGCGTTCTTATCGTTGGAACTGATATTCAATTTAACAATATTTGTCGTGCAATCTCTTAGGGGTTGAAATTAGTCAGACACGCCCTTTTTAAGACTTCCGGGAACTTTAGGGATTTTACTTGCCAACTTCACCTGTCTTGCTAACTAAACCAGTCTTACCTGTTTAGTAAACCTGTCTGTACAAGCCATTCTGATACGTTCGCTTGTAGCTGGTGTGTCTAACCTGAACATATCGTGAATTCCTGCGTCGCATCTGTGGACCATGATCAAGTGATCTCTCTAAACATTAGGTTATTTTTGATGCTATTTGTAGCAATGACCGTATTTACCTTGCACTAATGATGGCATTCTTGATGGCATAAAATATTGAAGCTGCCAGGAAGAGTGGAGGTTCACCGACAGCCTGAAATCAAGTTTAATCAAATGTAAAGCTACATATGGTAGCCATTCAAGAAGAGTAAATTTGTAATACCTTAGATGCATAAACAGCTTTCTCGTTTGGTTGACTACGTAACAGATGAACATAAAACTCTACAGGGATGTCTGCAAAGCCTGGGATCTTGTAAGCACCAGGCCCCGTCGTCCACAAGGTTCCTTTTTGAGAGAATCGCACTTCTTCGATGGTAAACAACCCAAGACCTTGAACAAACCCTCCTTCCACCTTAAACACACAATACACAAATTCTAAAGTTTGACTCGAGAAGAAAGAAGAGGAAGCAAAAGAGGTTTTAGGATCACCTGTCCAATGTCAATAGCAGGGTTCAAGCTGTTACCAACATCCATCACGATATCTGTCCTCAAATTCTAACAAAACAGAACGTTAGTTTATTCTAAAAATACGTTAAAAACATAAGAAAAGCTCCTTATATGGTAATAAATGACCTTATTTGGTAATACTGATGATTGTTTACCTGATGATCTCCTGTCAGACAATCAATCTCGACTTCAGAGCACGATGCCCCATAGCAAAAGTAGTTGAATGGGTTTCCTGTGCTTGTTTCCCAGTCGTAATTAATACTGGGCGTCCTGAGATAATGAACACCAAAATAGGAATGGTAACTAAAGAATCAAATACGCCATGGCTATCATAATCACTTACTTGTAAAATCCAAAGGCGGATAAACTGATGCGATCGAAGTATGCTGCTTTCACCTGAAACAAATCGTACTTGAGAGAGTAATTCAAGACTTGGAATATCGGTAGTGAAGTCATCTTACCCAATCTTCCCAGGATCCTTTGGGGTTCTTCTTTTTAATCGGTTCCAGTCTTTCGATGATTTGACTGCATGCGATCTAACAATAAGTGTTATCAATATTACTAACCTTTGTCAAAAAGATTTTATCATAAACTCATGGAATTCACAAATGATGTAGTAAAGTTCGCTTTACCTTGACTGCCATGCCATTGAGGTCAGATGATGCAGATGCTGCTGTGGGGGAGGTATTGGGGACAGTATTTGTGCTGGTTTCGCTGAGATGGATCTTGGAGTGAGGAATATCCAATGCACGTGATGCAATCTTTAAAAAAGCCAAAAAAGGGTGAAATTACGCGCAGCGAGACGTTTATCGTACGGCGCATCAGTAAGAGTTTACGTACCTGGATAATTTTAGTGTGTAACCCTTGTCCCATTTCCGTACCACCGTGCGTAACCAATACTGAACCGTCCGTATATACGTGAACCAGAGCACCAGCCTGAATTGATATCAACCATTAGCCTTGGGGCAGAGTAAAGTATATATATATATATGAGAGGGGACATCACAAAAGGGGTCTTGTGTCTAGCTGGAAAAATGTAGTCTAGCAAAAGACGCAATTAATTCACTCGCTGCATCAAAAGGGTCTTAATTCTTTAGCCTCCTTTTGTGCTGTCCCTTCTCATATAGAGCAGAGTCACTTGAACCATGAAATAGAAACTAAATATTTAGTAACTAATAGGCACTATTTAGACACTATCACTGAACCAGAACAGTACAAAGAGATTACTTTGATTGTTAAAGTGGTCTCTTGGGTATTGCTTATTGGATCAAATCAACTGTTCTGGTTCAGTGCTAACGACTATTAGGAACTAATAGTCCCTATTAGTTAGTACTTTTTAGTTCTTATTTCATGGTTCATGTGACTCTGCTCTATATATACAATAGTCACCTGATTAAGAAACAGCGCAGTAAAGGATATCCCAAACTTTGTAGGGACCAAAGCTATCCCACGTTTTTTCCACCGATTACTCCTGAAATCAAAACAAACAATCTATTTATCTCTCTAATTCAATCCATTGCAATTTTTTTATAAAAAAGTGAAAACGAAGTCCCCCTTTACATTTAATAACGGAAGCTTAACTGCAATCCCCAGTAATAAGATAAGTATATGATTCTTATTGCATTTTAACCTGTTAAAGGCTTCAATCTCTTGTTTTCTCTTCTCGTAGTCGCATTTCTCAATGAGTTCGTTCCATACACGAGTCACGTGACAATCATTTAGTGTCTGACCAAAGTGTGTCACATYTCTTTCTTGATAAAAATTGATCTCACGGACCTAAAAGATATATACGAAATTATGTTACTGAGGAGGGGAGGCTTGTTCAGTTTTTATATCATAAAGCCCGTTATGGTAACAGTCAAGTAATGTTTAAGTTTAGTCATAAGGGGGGAGGGGTAGAGATTGTACCTGTCTTTGTGAGATTCCACAAACTTGAGCGACGTCGTTAATCCAAGATTCAGTGACCATCATTCCCTAGAGTACACAGGAACCCCAATCAGCTAAATATAAAGGTGTGACGTCATTCAAGCTGACTATACCTGTGGTCCTCCAAAGCCTCTGAACGCAGTGTTTGATGGGATATTAGTTTTACAGCATCGACCAACAACTCTCACGTTAGGGATACGATAGCAGTTGTCCGTGCTAAATAACCCTCGTTCCATAACCTAGCAAGAAATAACACAATATATAAGAATGAAAGAAGATTTTTTTATTGGAAGAATACACTTACAGACTTTGAAAGATCCAGTGAGTGCCCGGCGTTATTGAACAGTTGTAAATTCAATGCTAAAATGGTGCCGTCCTTTTTGAAGCCAACCTATAAACGTAGCACGTATATTACACGAAAACCAAGACAGCCAAGATCAGTAAAGCATGGATTTTTTTCACTTATCCAAAAAGTTCCGTTTAAACGTGATACTAAATACACAGGAAAAATTATTTGAAGCCTACTTTGTATTTTCCGAGAAAAGAATGTCTTGTTCCTGAAAATTTCATGTCTTCATCACGATCCAACATACAACGCACAGGGCGACCAACTCTGCCAGAGAAAACTCAGTTAACGCACAAGGACAAAACTACTGAAATAAAATACAACTTACTTGTTTGCTGCTATGGCAACAAGGGCACCAAGGACGCATGACCTTGTCTCTTTACCGCCAAATCCACCACCTGACATCAAACAAACGTATCAAACCAGTTTTGAATCCGTAACACGTTTTTTTTGCATACCGTTATGTACCTTCTATTACACGTTTTAGAGAAAAATCTGCAAATATTTGGATACGCACTTCAAAACGTGTGGAAAGACAATTTTCAAAGAAACGATTGAAAAATATCCTGGTTTATGTGGACTGCGGGCCTTAAGGCCACGGTCGGATATTGATTTGTCAGAATCTAGCGAATAAGCATCGATTGATAATTATGTAAAGGAATGTTATTTACGACAAGCTATTGATTGCTCACCCATTCTCTTAGTTCTCACGACGATGCGGTTTTTAGGGACACCGAGAGCAGTGGCAACCATGGCCTGGAACCAAGCATGAAATCGTTATCATATATGATAATAAGTTATCAATAACAAGTCGATATACCTGAGTACAAGTAGGATTCTGTGTCGAGTGGAACAACTCCATCTCACCGTCCTCTCCTTTAGGAACAGCAATGGCTGAATTCGTCTCCAGGTAGAAATGTTCCTACAAAGAACATAAGTACTGGTCACCCTGTGGTGTTCGTCATCATGTCTTGGTCACCCTGTGTATACATACCTGTGCACCTGTTCTCATTTCACCTTCAATCACGTGATCGCTATCAGCAAAGCCCTTTTCAACGTCGCCTTTCTTGATGGAGAGTGTTGGTCCCATGAATGAATCAGCCTTAATGGCGTCCTGGCGACAACAAACCAATTCTATTTCTATATTTAATTCGTAATATCTTATTGGTTATGAATCCTTACCTCTATTGTAACAATAGCTGGAAGATCTTCGTACTCAACCTTTACGGCCTTAGCAGCACGTTGGGCCTGGGCCTGAGTTTCTGCCAAGATACCTCCAATGGGTTGTCCTATTGACGTCACCTTGGCATTAAGGAATAGTTAATAAGGCTTCTAACAATTATGAATGAGTGGGCGTGCCTTACTTCGTCAGTGTAGAACATCAATTCATCATGAATTACTGGTCCATTGCGATTAGACCCAGGGACGTCTTCGTCGCTGACGTAGGCACGAACCCCTGGCATAGTGGTTGCCTTGGTCGAATCGATAGATCTATTGAAAATGAACGTCATTGTTAACCAATTTGAATGTTTTTGAGTGACAGGTTGTCTGGTTGTTTATCTTATCACTTTATACTCACTTGATCTTAGCGTGGGCTCGCTCGCTTAGGACTAGGGCCAAGTACAACTCGTCTGAAAGTAGATATAATAGTCAAAATAGTGGGAACTAGCGGTAAACTAGTGTGAGCTGCGTCCGTGTTTCTAAAGAAACACTTGTGTAAAATGATAAATTTAACACCGTAAAAAGTGGGTGAAATAACTTACTGACGTTTCGGACGGTGTTAATATTTTTATCTTTTTACACAACTGTGAAAGTAGATATAGACAGATATGACACTATGACCTCATAGGATCGTCATAGCAACCACCATACCAGTATACTTGGGCATGTCGTCTACATAAACAGCTTCTCCACTTGCTTGCTTCAAAGCAGCCAAATGAACCACTGGCCGACCAATGACATCATCTTGGGGCTGGTCAGGGGGGACCTCCTGTAGAAATTGTCATGCGACTTTTTAGAAGGAACAATGTACGCAGGAGGGGTAAAGCTGTGTACAAACCTGGAATGTTTGAGTTGATTGGGATGAGACTTTCTCTTGGTATTTGATGGCACTGCGACAGGACTCATCGATAGCAGTAACACAGGAATCCTGAAACACATCATGTGACAAATCAAATTGTTTGCTCCGATATGCGGTACGTTTATATATACCCTTTGTAATTTCTTTGTTATTAGCATAAATTCAAAGAGAACTTAACGGGAAACTTGTTCATCTAACTAGTGAGGCTTGATGAAACACAGAGATGAGGAGAATCGTTGCTACAAAATTAGTCCCCAAGCTCCCTCGGAAATATAGTCATTCCTCTCAGCGAAAAAAATAATGCATGCTGGCATTACGAATTCATCTACATGATACATGACGGACAGCGTCGCACCTTGAAAATGGAAAATCTCAATAATATGCTAAGCAGCATGAATAAAATCACAGCCTGTCCAGTATAACGAAAATATTGCATTAACTATTCAACTATTCTGAAATTCATTTTCTGCAGTCCTATAATTATCCAAATTATCCATATATTTTTTTTCTTAAGTTACCCCCTCCCCCTGTTGATTTGTGAGATTCTGGATCTGCCATCAAGCAAAAGTTTACGTCCAAATCCGTTACAATAAAACTAAAATCAAGTGTCCAGTGAGTAAAGAAATAGTAGCGAGCCACCTTAATTTTGTTGTTGTAGCGACTTAAATGAGTTTCCTAATTTGTTGAACCCGTACTTTGCGAACAGAGCTATTTTTCTCACCCTCTCTGGCTTTCTCGGCGGGTGAGAAAAATAGCTCTGTTTGCAGAGTATTGAACCCGTGACATCAACAATGACATAAACATTGTGAACAATGCAGTAAAAGCAATCTAATGAATAAACTATCTTCCTGGTTCACTGCGTGTAAACTCATGTAGAGAACGAAACACGCATCTTTTAGTTTCGTTGCAATCTGAATCATTAAACGGAAGAGAAAAACAATGTTTTGCTATCAGTCGATATTGCAACTATAGATAACGCTTTCAGTTCAACGTTGTTCAGTACACGAATAAAAAGTGTCAATCAGATATTCACATTTCCATATCAGTTTGTGTCAAACAGTGTCCTAGACATATATTAAATTTTCAGGTCATGGTTGGCTGATATGGTGATGACAAAAACTTAACCGACCCGGAAACAACCGTCAAGTATGGATTCCAGCTCTATAATATGGAGCGGCAAAGTTTCCGCATTGCAGCACCAAAAAGACCTACCAAAAGTTGTCCAGGTTGAAGATGGACATTACGACGAGAACGAAGATTTGACGCTATCGAATGGAGACGTCTTGACTCTTCACTTGCGTAAAAACTTACGTACGTATACAGCTGTAAGTAGACGCCGTCAAGAGATTCGCATTCCTACAAGGCTTGCAGCCGAAGTCAAGACGGTAAATCGCCAACCCATAAAGACGTACAACACTATTAAGGATTTGGTCGATGATGGTGTTGAGAAAGTCGAATGGTTGCATGATACACCATGGCTTAACATCAAGCAAGGCGACATTATGTTTATACAGGAGCTTGTGGATAACAAATCGACATTGTCAGCGAGGATGTCGTTTATGCACAAGAACCAAGCCGATGTTTATGTACCTCTGACTTATCGCTCAGACTTCAAACCGGTTATTTGGAACACTTTTTGGTTAGGTCCCGGAAAAGAGGAAGAGTTAAACTACCCAATCACCGTTCAATTTATCGACGAAACGTTGAAAATTAAAGACAACGACAGTACGTCAGAATCGACACAACTCTCGACAATCGCTGACCTTGGCGAAGTAACATTGAAAGGATTTCAAGAAACCGAGGTATTTATTGCCAGTATTAAAGATGAAGAGAATCGCATCATAGTAATGAAGATACCAACCAATTTGGATATTACCGTCAGGGGAGGGGTAGGGATAACAGACGATGACTACACATATGTAAACGTATGTCAGGAATACAATAGAAGAGCTCACCTTGAACAACTTGACGAGAAACCTCTTGATTCAATTAGAATCGGGAATATTGATGCAGCACTGGAGAGAATCTACGACGTAGCGCTCAGTGATGATGAAGATCATGAATACATCGAGCCTGCTCCTCGTATTCCAACTCGCGTGGGGAGAGAACCATTGCACAGCCCCACCCCACCAAGCACCGATTATGACGAGGAAGATGATGATTATGAGGATTGTCCAAATTATGAAGAGTACAATGATGATAATGAAAATAACAATATTCCACACGATTCCCCTGACAATCTTGAAACTGGATGTTGTTGTTTTAGAACATATACTAATCAGTCGTACGTCATACCGCAGAACAAGCTACAAGATACCACACCTGTACATGAAGCATGTACCACTCAGCCAATGCGATACATTGAACATCCAGAATGTCCCGACGAGACGTTGGAAGATAACAAGAAAGATTTTCAAATACCGAGAAACTTGGAACATTTATCAACAGACGAAGTCTTGGAGTGTTTAAAACAGCTAAACATGGCATGCCACATCGATACATTTAAACACAATCAGATTAACGGGAAGCTTCTTGTAGGACTAAATCAACAAATGCTCAAAACTCTTGGTGTTGAAAGCCCTTTCGAACGACATAAACTCATTCAATTCATTAACGGATGGAGACCAGAATCTCACTGATAAATGATAACATTAGAACTGATGGAGGAATAAGAGCGAATAAGAGTACTGCCCCGAGCACTGCATAGCGATTGAACTGTGACTTGTCATGATATGATTTACGCCAATACATGACAGCAGCTTCTAGGTATAGATTCAGGTTATAGACTCGGTACACGACTAGGTAAACTGTAGAATGCTAAAAAGATCGTTGGCAATCAAAGACTGTACTTGTAGATATCATTATTATTATTAATATTACTATTATATGTTAATAACTACTTCTTGTAAAAATACAAGAGAATCTGTGTTTGTAAATATATAATTTGAATTTATAATTTCTATTTTCATTTCACTGCTTGTTAAAAAAGGATTATTATCTATTTTGAAGAAGCAGATGTTGGACGGCATGCATGCATACTGGACTAATGCAAGCCATTTGTGCAAGTTGACGATTTCAGTTTCGCTTTTTATTTGCTTTTATTTTTTATTTGTTTATTGTCTATGCAGAACGTCAAAATAGAACAGAGGCTGGAAAAAAATCGCAACAATCAAACGATATAAATTGAAAAGAGAACAGTCTGAAGATCTTTTGTCACTGATGAGTCGAAACCTCTTTCAGTTTCTCCCTTCCACGTCGAGTTATTCTTCTTGTTGGTTGGTGGAATTGCCCTATAAAGTTCTTAGTTTCTTTCATTTTTAATATTTTTTCTTGAAAGCTGAAGTGTTGGTTTCACCTGAGTTAGACGCAATGAGGATGAGATTAATTTCGAAATGTTTATCGTCTGACACAGCGACCTTTTAGAATAAGGCACGGTACTTCACCATGAATTAACATTTATCGTCTGACACAGCGACCTTTTAGAATAAGGCACGGTACTTCACCATGAATTAACATTTTTAATTACCCCATTAACATTGTGTTGTTTGGCAGACGCTTTTATTGATACAATAATCAATACAATAAACTAAAAAAACAGGGATAATTAAAATGTACATCGAAGATGAATAATAACAACAGAAAAGACAAAGAAGCAAACCAAAGCTGAAGAGATTTGTCAAATTGTAGATTTAGAGTTCGAAAGTGTGTTTGCGCATGTCCCGCAGGCTTTACACGGAAGCGATGCATTCAAGATCAGACATGGATCATGAGCTTGAATCAATCGACTGGGATAGTCCATCGTATACTCTAGCAGAGTTTCTAAGTAGCTACACATTACCTCAAATAGTATGTGTACGAGACGGCTATCTAGACATAGAAGAAATCACGACTCTTTCTACCGATCAGATCATGACTTTGCATTTTGTAAAGCCATGTAAAATGCTCAAAGGCTTTAGCGAAACTAAAAAGACAGAACAGCTATCTATACCTGTAAACACCGTAGGAAAGATTGAAATACTGCCAGACAAGCTCCCTACGATATACAAAAGTGTTAAAGCGGTGAAGAACGACCCTCGAGTAAAGAAAGTTTTATCACTACACAACCATGCATGGCTGGGCATAAAAGAACARGATGTCTTGAATATTGAAGGTTGTAAGAAGAAACATGGCAAGGAATATCTACGTTGCTCGGTGATAAACAGAGATGGAATAATCATTGAGTTACCAATTTCCTATCAAGCGTGTTTTCACTCGTACGAAGAACCAAATACCATTGCTATAAGAGACGTGGAAAAGCACTGTACTTTCCCTTGTACTGTTAGAATCAAAGCAAGCGCGCCAACCAAGCCAGACTATGACCCTGAAGATAGGTCAGAATTCTTGGATCTCAGTAGTTTCGGACGAATTAAACTAATGGGAATTTATGATTATGATAAAATAGTAGCAAGTATCCGTCATTTGGATAAAGTAAGAATAATGCAGATCCCAATAAGCCTTGAGATTACGGTTTGCACAGGAAAAGAAGCAAACCAGAAAGACAGTGAATACTATCAACTATGTGTGGAAGTTCACAATAACACACAATTCCAGCAGATGGAAGGAGAAGATCAATTTGAATATGTCAAGATGGGTAACAATGAAGACAAGGTCGATAATATTTACGAGTATATTGACTTCAGATATGTAAAGCCACCGATACCGCCGCGACCAAGCAGTGCGACTGCTGAAAAATCAGGCAACACTCCACCGCCAGTTCAACCCAAACCACTAACAAAACCTAAGCCAACTGACCAACAGAATCCACCTCTAGAACAAATCCCCATTCCATCATCGCCAACAAAAGAACAACCAAACTCTCAGGACTTTTCGATACCTGATGACCTGACAGCGCTGAATGTCGAAGGCGTTACCGATAGCCTAAAATACTTAAAGATGGATCAATACATAGAAAAGTTTAAGGAGGAGCTTATTGATGGGACGATGCTAGTTGAATTAAGCGAAGACATGATGGAAGAATCTCTTGGAATAACGAGTAGTCTTCATAGGAAAAAACTCAAGAAATTTATAGATGGTTGGAGGCCTAAGTAAATAAGCATATAAACAAGCAGAAAGAAAATAACCTAATATACGTGTAAACAATCTTATATTCACTGATTCACATTGGAAATCTGATAACAAATTGTCTGGTGGAAGTGAAACTGAGATTGCTGTAACAATCAATCACAGAGGAGCAAAGGGAAGGACATTATCAGCAATGAATACTGATGCTGCAGATATGAAACCCCACACGTCAACCTGTACTGCAGCTGTACATTTGCATATCGCTTAAAGATAAATACTTTTACATAAAAAAAGAATATTAAAAAAAGTTATCTAAAACGAAGGGTTCACTGATGAACTGTGAAGGAAATAATTTAGTCAAAAAACATGGACTCAGAAATATTGCGACCATTCCTAAATCCATGATTGCTGCTGTGCATCATGATTCAATTGAATAAAACTGTGAATTAATCGCCTCTGATATTAAAACTAATATTGTTATAGTCGGTATATCTAATATTATCTTTTGTGTCAATTGACTACTGTACCTTGACAATATTATAAAATATTTCAAAAACGTTTATATTTTCATTACAAGTTCACAAAACCATGTAACTACTGTCTTAAAAATTAAATAAAAAAAAAAATATAAGTCATAAAAATTCCACGAAAACATTGTGGCATTTAATTTTAGTTGAATTCTGAACCGCTCAAATACACGATTCCTGATAACACTTTCGGCAAATTAGGGATTATCATCAATCAGTCGTGTCGAACTAATCAACTTGATTATCACCAAAATTAGGTACCATTTCAGTTTCGAGGGACTATTAGAATATTCAAACGATGCGTGAATGCAGTTATGAAGTAGTAATCAATAACTATTTTCACACTGTGACCCTGACCAAGTTTAGCAGGGTCTAAAAATCTTTCAGGAGAGGAAGACTGAATATCGTCTGTCTGTGGTTCAGTTTGTCGCTGTGTCGTGGAATATCGACTGCTCAACTCAGAGAGGGTCATGAAGGGGTATTGAATGTTTTTATGGTTTGTTGTTTTTGTTTTGTTTTGTTTTGTTTTGTTTTGTTTTGTTTTGTTTTGTTTTGTTTTTTTTGTTTTTTTTTTTTTTGCGGGCGGAGACTGAAAATCGAATTTCATGCATCGGTATTGGGAATTGCCAGCAATTTTAAAATAAGAATTTCCGTGTTTTCCGATCTTTAGTAAATTGGCTATGCTTTTTACGTGCCCGACCAGACCAAAAGACAACAGCTTTATAACAACTTTCCAAATTATGCGTTTCTACCAAAAATGTTATTATAACCCTTTTGTTCTGGATACTTCTATCAATAACAATCTTGCGTGTTGTTTGTACTGGTCCAAAGATCAGTAACTTACCTTGACTTGACTGAGTTTGTCTGTAACCATCAAATAAAATTTCATAAAGAAACTAGTGGTTAAGGATCTTCGATAACTGACTTGTCCCCCTGGTGCATTGGCTGACAATGGAAGATCTTCCTCAAGCAAACTACAAGCCGTATCCACAACACTTTCATCCCAAGCCCTGAAAATACAATTCAAAGTTATCAAGTTCTGGTCACTTTAATAATAAATGACAAAACTTTCCGTCGGAAAATAGTAAAAAAATGGGAAAGTGGATGTGAGAATAAGCTGCACTTGCGCAGAATGGCGAGAAACGGTTTCATCTGGTTGTACCAATCACAGTTCAGAATAGATCAAATTACCGACAGAATTTTTATTATTAAAATAAGATAACTTGAATACGGCATATCTTGTACCTTCCAACAAGAGCTTTAGATGTCTTCAGTGCCATGACAGTACAAGGTGCCATCCCACCATAACAAAGACTACATTCCTTCACAACACACTTTGTGAGGTCCAGTCTCACTCTCATGCCAGCGTTAACAATGGCAATATCATCATCGCGACGCCTGGCTTGTTTGAATGCGAAAAAATACTCGTCCTGTGGTTCATCATAATTGTAAGCTTAGAAAAACGTCCATGAATCCAGTCATCACCATTATCGTGACTTACCTGACGTGTGAAGGGGACGTGGATGGACACCAAGACTTCATTGGTTTCGAGAGATGTTTTTCTGTATCCCCGAAAAAAATGTTCATCGAATTTGATCTCTCTTGTTTTACCTGCAAAACGAAACTGTTGTGTAATTTCTTTTCCATTTGCGCAGAGTCAGCGGAAAAAGAACTTTATTTGCATCGTGACATGGATGTACAAATCTGGATGAGCGGTGTCCGGTGTTTCCGGTGTCTTTTTCCCTCCAGTCAGGTCAATCTTGTACCCAGACCTCATATCGAAAGATACGAGGAGTCTGGGTATGAGATTGTTTCCCGCCACAGAAAATGAACAATAACGAGAAGAGAATTTCTACCATACCTCCGAGCGATGCTACCGTCAGAGTACTTGCAGATGCCATAAAGATTGGATTCAAATCTGATATTGGACTAGCTGTCATGATATTACCACCAACACACTACAACAATATTGAACAAATTATACTCTTCAAGATCATGTGATTCAAACAAAAACTATGGTTTTAGTCTCACCCCAACATTTCTTATTTGCTGGCCTGCAAACCATCGCAATATCTCCAGGATTGCTACATAAACCCTTGTCTTGTATTCTACAAATCACGAAAAATTTACAATGATCTACCAGAATGATTTTGAAATTTCTTAAACTGGCAGTAAAAAAGTAATTCTGGAAATCAAAGATAAAAATACTTCAATTTCAAGTGTGTAATCTGTTACCTGGCAACCGTGCAACAACTTCCTTCAGTGTTTCTTCAATGGTTGACAAGGTAACAGAGGATCCAAATGTCACACCACTTTCTGTCTCCTGTACTATGTTCAGTTCTGGGATGTGAGTTGGTGCAATTTGAATTGGATAATTCTGATTCTTAAACTTTGTTTCAATTCCTAAATTGAACAAATTTGTCGATTGTCAAAACCATAGTTCTACCAACTTTGTCAAAACAGATTAAAACCAGTTGCTACAGCAAGTTCACCTACCTATCTCCGTGTTTCCTACAACTAGTCTGGCTTTAGGATACTTGTTTTTGAGTTCTAGAAGTTCTTGTAGAGATGATGGCCTTATCCAAGTGACATAGTCACCCTTGATGTGCAAAGTTCTTGGTTGGGTTGCCTGTGGTAGCTGTCATGACAACACAAAAATGATTTTTTTTTTAATTTTCCATTTCTCTTGGAATTACTTAACATTATTGACTTATTCTTTATTTGTTACTTTCTTAGTCATCTACATTTTAATTCTCAACTTCTATCATTCCATTTCGATTACACTGCAGTACTGCATTACACAAATTATACCATATATAACACAGCAACAACAAAACATTACACAAAACTACAGGACATTACTAAAGGACACAGCATTGCAACACACCATTAGCTCTGGTGGAAAGATTGGCTCTTGCGTTGGATCAAGTGGAAGAAATTCCTTGGCATCAAACAACTGACTGGAAACCTATGCACAAAAAACATTGCTGATTTTACTACAAGAATCAGGTAAGAATGTGATATTGAGCCATACATTTTCTTGCGATTCATAACCATTTGATACTCCATTAGTTTTGCCATTTGTTTGCTGCATGCAACATCCATTCCCATTACTACCTCCACAGCACACAAATTCCTGAATCAAAACAAAAAATGCTATACAAAAAACAAATGAATGAATGAATGAATAGGGGTATAGACCGATTGATGGATGTAAACATGCTTTTGCATTAGACAACCCCAGAGCTTGCAATGAATGATATTTTATATACCTGTCTATGAGTGAAGGAAGGTTTCATTGCAAGCTCATCAGATGTCAAGGTTCAATACAAGATGTCACATGGAACTGTAAAAGAGGCTATTACAGTGAAATAGAATATATTGTACCTTTGTAAATGTTTTATATCCATCAAGAATTGCTCTGTAACCAGTACATCGGCAAAGGTTACCTACAAAAAACAAAGAAAAACACTGATTCTCTGTTGTTTTTTTACAAATTGGTTATGTTTATGAATGCTTGATGTATATAGCTTGGTCTTCGTATCCAATAATATTACCTTCAAAAGCACTTTCCATGTCTTTCATGGTCGGCAGAGGGTTGTTTCTCAATAGTGTGTACATGGACATCACAATACCAGGTGTACAAAAACCACACTGTGAACCATGCGCTTTAGCAAGTCTTTCCTAGAATAATAGTCTGAGTTATTATCATCACATACAGATCGCCCGCTCATATTGTAATATATTACTTGCAAATCAACATCATTAGAAAAGCAGACAATTAAAAATATCAGCAAAGACAAACAAAATTCATGGTTTCCAGGAATATACCTGTACAGGATGTAGTCTTGTTTTGGTTGACCCAATTCCTTCAACAGTGGTAACAGCCATACCATCCACTGAACAAACTGGTGTAAGACAAGCATTGGCTGAAAAGTGTCTGCAATAAAAAACAGTTATAAAGCAGTAGGCTAAAGCAGTTTATAAAAAGAACCAAAATTTGATTTCTCATTCAAATTGTTTAATACTTGGAGGAAATGTTACATTTATTGTTCCCATAGATTTTCACCTGTGCCTTTTGTTATTAATGATATTTTACCTAATTTTGTTGTTGCTGGTATTATACTTGGACAGCATTACTGTACAAGCTCCACATCCTCCTTCACTACAACCAAGCTTTGTTCCTGGTAATCTGACTGTATCATGTCAAGGTCAAAGAGGACTGTGTTTGGATAGTATGCATATTGTGATTGATTCAAGACTGTTTATAATAGACTAACCAAAATAGTACACCATATATTAACATTACAGAGTCCATATTAAGGAATTATAATTTCCTCTTGTTCTCTGGCAGTTTCAAATTTTGTACGTGCCCGTTTGTCCATACACGTATTTCCCTTGGGGATGGTTCAGTTCTTAAAATCCAACCGAATTCGCCGAAATCCTGTCCACCTCACCAAATTATTCTCGATCTACAATGACTATTTTGCGCTAGTTTGATTTGCTAACATGTCTTCAGTTTGGTCATCATGGATTTATTTGATCTGGTGCGGAGCGCTTTCTCGGCGGGTGAGAAAAGTAGATCTGTTGGCAGAGTAGAGCGGATTGAAATATCAGGAATGTACTACTGTGTTAACCTTTAATCGACTTCTTTTGCATACCAAAAATGCGTTAGACATTTCAACGCTTTCAACAGTAAATCATATTGATATTAGGAAATACAGAAAGGCAACCTCGAATTATGAAATCTTGTTTTATAAAATCGGGTACACATTACCCCGTGCACAAACGTTTATCAGAAGGATACGCGTATTACGAAGATACTGCAGAAGTGTTGTCTCTGGTTGCACATTGTTGTCTGTAACCTAGAAGTGAAAAGTTCATGTTTACATTGCGTGATTTGACCTTAGCTACAGAAAGGAATCCGACTAAATCAAAAGCGTTATTCGATGGATTTTCGCAATCAAATTAGCATCACCATAGGTTCATCAACAACATCATAGCAAATGAAAAACTTTTCATTTTCACACCGCAACTCACCTTTTTTCCATTGACGAAGAAGGAGACTTCATTAATTTGAATGGAAGGCATCTTCCCAAGAGGTTTTATCGATCAGTCGTAAACGAAGCTTGATATATGTAATAAAGTAGGGCTTCCTCCGACAAAATGTTCTGCACTGAGGCAGACGATTTTGTTCAAGTTAAATACACAATTAAAGAAATCTCTGTCTTTGAACGGAGGTAACCTGTATAATTCTTTACGCGAAATAAACGCACACGCTTCTTACCTTTGCGGTTTCTATATCACAAATAGAGGTAATGTTGGGGGTGTGTTTATCACGTGACCAAAACACCTACGGTCCATTGCCTACAGACGTCAATCAAAGTCTTCCTGTCTTCTTTCACAATTTGCTCGTGTTTTGTTGAGCAGCAAGATTTATTTTTTATTGATGCTAGTTAGGGAAAGAAAAGGAGAAAAAAATCGCCGCCGCCAGCGCGCTAAATCTTTATTCAAATACTGGTGATTAGAGATTAATTTAACGTCGCCGGCTGTTACGCGGGCAAAATTATCAACACAAACTGAGAGAACTGGCAGAATTACTAGTAACATATTGTAACATTCCCGGGGACAATGCGAGGAGTATAGGATAAAGAGGGGAGAAAAGGAACTTTTGCTCTCGCTCTTAGATTCTATTCGCACGTAAAGCCCCGTAAAACGTTTAGTAGAGCCCTCCTTTTTTCCTCCCCACCCCCTCCCCTTCCGTTTTCCCCCTCCCCCCTTCCCTAGAGCCAACACGAAGGCTATTTAAAGTACGCATATGTACGCATAAATTCTCGTGATCAATTGTGATTTATTTCTATACAAACTAGCTAAATTATAATTACAAACAATAACTTGCTAATGTAAAAATAAAATAGAAAATATGGAACATCAAAGGTTATTGTAATTACTAGAGTTGTTTATTAGTATATTATTCCTGTGAAGATGACTTCAACGAAGGATTTCGAAACGTCATGTAACAATAACAGTCTTTCTCAAGACTTCTTACATTCACTCTCAGACCATTCAATTAGGTCATTAACAATTTCAATGATTATGCAAAAAATACCTTTATATAATTTGTATCACTCTATTAGTACTAGACTATTTCGGTCGGGTCGCGTGCGACTACATCATCATCATCACCATTGTTTATTGTCATAATCTGGTGAAGTTTCATCATCGCCATCATTACTCATCATCATAACGATAATATTTTTGTCAATTTCAATGCTATTCTGTTAAAGCACTTTCTTCAACAAACAGCGGCTTGAAGTATTTGTTGTCTACTTTAGACCACGCCCTCACTAGCCACGCCTTCTCGTATATCTTCTTTTCGATTCTATCTACGGGTGTACTTGCTGCAGGATCGTTAATATCCAGAAGACTTAGACGCCTTGCTTTTTTCTCCTCTTCATACTCATCAATACCGCTTCTGATCCCCAGTACCGTAAGAACAGGCATCGTTAGTCCCCCGAAGACGATGACGGAAATAATGACAATAACAAGGGTCGTAGTAAGCATCATCTGCCGTGGAATTGATACTGTATTTCTCACAGCCAGTGCAAACGCAATAGCTCCTCGAAGTCCTGAAAAAAACATCATGTGTTGAAAGTTACAGGGAATGGTGCGAGTACGACCTAGATTGAGAAAGAAAGAAAGTGGATATATGTTGCAAAATCTTCCAACAAGAATGGCAAAAAAACTCCATGCAATAAAACCCGGATTCCATTGGTGGCCTGTGAACGCAAACACCGACAGTCCAATGTATGTGAATATGAAGTTCTCAGCCAGGAAGTTCATGAGCTCAAAGGTCTGTAGCGTTCGAACCCTGGATTCTTGAGTTAGGTTCTTGTACGTGTAATGTTGCTGTGTTATTCCACAAAACAGAACTGCCACGATTCCTGACCAGTTTGCCACTTCTGCAGCAAGGAAAGTGCAGTAGGACATTAAAAACAGCAGAGCCGCTTCTAAGATTGGGAAGCTACCGAGTTTCGTCAACTTTGTTACAAGTGCATTGATACAAGACATGCCACAACCAATAACAAACGAACCCGTAAAAATAGCGATAAAGTCACCAAACGCTTGGATAACAGAGAGTAAATCAAACTGGCGCATTTCTCTCGGGTTATAAGCTAAATAACTTTCAATTGCACGATATAGGACCAATGCGACTGCATCGTTCAGAACGCTTTCTCCAAAGACAAGCGCATACATATCAACATCAACGTGGATGTCATGGAAAATAGCGAGAATAGTTACTGGGTCTGTTGCTGATATTAGCGCACCAAACAGTAGACATTCTGGATAATCAAAGTCAGGTGTTACACCAGTCCAAAGGTTAAACCCGTAAACCATAGATCCTGTTACGATACACGAGATGGTAGTCCCAATGAAAGCGTACGTTAGAATTGCTCCAAGGTTTCTGAAAAAGTATCTTTTTTGCATGCTGTACCCGGCGTAGAAGATAATGGGTGGAAGAAGGACATAGAAGAAGATTTCAGGATTGAACGTTGCGCGCGACTCAATCTCGTTCGTCTCATCTGGCTGTGTTTGCTCTGGAAAACGAATTCCCATCAAGTTGTAGGAATATTCTGTGCCGTTGATGCTCACCCAAACACTCCTCGGCGCATTAGTCAGGTTGTTGCAGTTTTTGATTTTCACTGCTAATGGTTTTTTGCTTTGACGGTTCTCACAGTATTTGATAATGGCGCCGACGATCGTCCCAATGATCATAGCCACCCCTGTTTCATGAATAAACTGTAGGCGACGTATCTTAAAAAGCCATATGATCAGTACATCAACAATGAGAAGTGTAATCAGGATCATCATACTAAGACTGTCAGTATTATGAGTGTTTTCCATTTCATCTTCTTTTCTTCCTTCTAACGTAGTTGGTGTTTCCATTCCACAAGCTATAGAGACTAACTGGAAAACAACGTAGGTTACTATCCATAAATGAATGTGCCTGGCCAGTTTTATTATCCCTGGTCTTGAGTACTTTGATCGAATCTTTCTTTCTTCCATTTTGTTGCCACGAACCACTCGCTATGTTAGTCTAATAAGTCGTATTTTTTTAGTAAGATGAACCAATGGTCACGGCCAATGGCCATCCAGATTTGGCCAAAAATTAAACACGATTAATATCTTGGTGAAAAACTTATTTTCAAATTTCAAACCAGCAGTAAAGTTCAAACAAACTTTTTCTTTCGTTTGTGTCAGCATATTGTGGATCAAGAAAACATTATCAAGAAAAATCCGATCAAACCGGCATTTTCACAGAGTCAATCAAGTGCCTTTTTGAAGGGTTTAGGTGTTTAATTATTGATTGAAATCCTCTGTTTGTGGCACCTGTCTAGAGTTCAACTGGACTAGTGGTTTTTATGGATCAACAACGTTACCACAGGTGGATTGGGAAAACTACAAAATGTGGTGAAATCTTACATAATTGTAACACTACTATCACGATAAAACAAAAACAATTCAAGGATAATTGTTTTGCTTATGTAAGAGGTACACTTTCATTCTAAAGACAGTTCAAACAAAGTATAATATAAAGAAAACATGGTTGATGTTTTTGTTAAGGGGTGGTCAGTTTTTATTGCCTAGTAAAAAAGCTAAATGAATAGTATTCCTTTGGGCACATAGTTTGAATAGAAAGAGAACTACGAGAAGTTATCTTTCTATAAAAACTAATTAATGTTTGAACTAAAAGTACTGCAACGAACAAAACTATGTTCAAATCAAATCGTGAAACCTTTTCATTAAGTATGTGTTAGTTTAGACTGTTTACTGATGAACCCAGGGTCAAGATGACCAGCCAGTCACCAAAGGAACCCCGATTTGATTTAAGAAAGACCAATCATCGAGATTAATGACATTCAAATCAACATTTTATTATGATTTTCATAACAGCAACAAGTTTGTAACAATTGCAAGTTGAAATTGATACACATTTCCACATTTTTATGTAATAATATTAATATATAATTTTAATCATCTTTGTAACATATATGGTGATCTACTTCTCAAAAGCAGCCGTCTTCTTATGTAAAATAATATAATGAATGCAGTCATGGCAATTAATACTAAAAGAGTATGTCAATAATCAGTATTACTTGAATTACATATTAGATCTCTTTAAATGAAGGATTTTATGTAATTACATGTATTTATGTAATCACTTAACTTTACCGGGTTCCCTGTGTTAAGACTTTCGAAAGACAAGTGCACAAACCAATAAAAATTCAGCTTGCATTAACTGAACTTATGTTATTCTATCAAAATGTTCTTACTTTCAAATGGTGTTGAAGAAAAAATACGATTAGATAGGATTTTGTGTACTGTCCAGTTTCAACTGCACTGATGATTCTTGAAAAATAGCTGAAACTCTTTGGATAAGAGTCCAGAACTGGACCCTCTTTTCTCAATTACTATAATATTATATGTAAAATTTAAAAATCAAAAGCGTGCTATCGTGACTGTTGAGAATGTTGATTCAAATAATAGTTTCAACTTTGCGTGCGCAAGGATAAAAGAGGGTCCAGTTCTGGACTAAAGCGTTTCTGTAATGCTGCTGTTTCTGTAATGCCGAAAAAGCAAAAACCGTTCTTAAAGCTCAATTACAATCCACTGAGATACCTGTGTGAGTCAATGAGGCCAGAGGTTGTCTTGACATTATAACCATGTGGTTAGACAGTGTTATGCAATGGACTATTACAACAAAAAAAACAACTGTGTGGATGAACTGAGCCATAATTTGAGCACAGTTGTTACTACTGCCTTCATAAAAGTGTGACTAACAAAGACTAACTTAATCACAACACAGGATATACCAGATTATTTCCTTGAATATTAATATCTTGATGAGATGTTTTGCGTTTCTTAGATGGTGTATTCTCAATGTTTGATGAAGTAACTTGTCGTTTAGCTTCCTTTGCTTCTTGTTCAATTTGTTTGACTGCCATGTCATCATCCTCTGATGGATCGCTCCACAATGAACAGCTACTGCAAACTTTACACTTTCTACCAGGGTCTCTAGGATGTTGGCAGAAATGATTGTAACTGATTGATGGCTTTCGGCAAATATAACACATTGTTGTTCCACAGCGGCATGTCATTTTGTTGCACCCATCTGATTTGGTGAATTCGCAACCACACTTGTGGCACTTGCGGATTTTTGCCATGGTCATCTTTTCTTCATACGACAATCTAACATTTTTTTCATCATTCTTTTCAACCTCAGAACATTTCAAGCCAAAGTGATCTTTCCATTCTTCTTTACAGTAGCGGCAAGTCTCCTTGGCACAAGAAGAATTCTGGCATTTAAACACCTTGTCTTCAGGTTCCATTATTGCTGCAAAATCACAATGTGGACAGCGCACAAGGTCATCCATTTCAGCAAGACAAAGGGACTCTTCTGCCAATCTATCTTCATACTTAGCAAGAATGTTTGAATCCAATGAACGTCTTAATTGTGTCATTGGGAAGGTGCTATCACAGTCACTTGTCATACATGACAATATTGCTTTTCCCTGACCAAACACTGCTTCCTTTGCATAACTTTTCAAGCAATTTACACAGAACAAATGCCCATCTAGACACTGGACCATGTCTTCAAATGTTGCCTCAACATAACAGCAGCCACATTCAATCATCTGTCCTTCTGCTTCATACTGTTCTTCATTAAGTATAAACGCAAGTTGTCTATCTTTCTCTTCTGCTTGGCTTACCTTGTAATTCTTGATAAAATCAATCTCTTTTTGCAGCTCTTGATCAAGTGACTTCAAGCATCCCAGTTTCTTTGGGTGTCTTTTTCCTTTCAATAACCGTAATGGTGATGTTGGTCCAGAAGTGGTAGAAGCAGATGTCTGTGTTGATGAACTGTTAGGCGATAAAAGTTTGTAAGCCTCAATAACCTTATCTTCCAGGTACTTCCTTGTTGGTGCATAATGGTAGGAATATTTACGAGCAATTCTTCTAATGTCACCTACAGAAACTTTGGGAAACTCATTTTCAAGTAATGCAAGACATTGGTCAATATATCTGTGTGAAGGAAAAGAATTATAGTTCTTTAGGTAATCAACTTTAGAGGTTGATGTTTGTTCTGTTGCTAAAGTTTGTGATTTCTTTTCTTCCTTGGGATAGCTTTTTTCTAACAATTCATTGCACACATTACTAACTATGACATCAGCTGGAAAAGTTTTCCACTTCTCTACGAGATCTTTAAGAAATTTATCTTGTACATCAGGAAAAAGTAACCTTATGTTATCTGCTGAGTAAGTCAAAGGGTCGAGAATCACCGCATTACTAGCCAATGGGATGGTGCTTGTACTAGTATTATTTGGATTGTAGTCCTGTAACTTCCTTGACACATCTTTTTTTGGTGTAGCTGCAAAACCGGAATTAGGAATAATGGCACATTCTTCAGTTGAGGCAGGAGGAGGAGAATCGTCAATCATATAAACTCTCTTATCTTTATCTTGGATAGAAGTGGCCACATACAGCAATTCGTTATCATCGATGTCTTCAACAAAACTAACTTCTAAATCGCTAATCCGCTTTCTTTTCAAATAGCCAGCTGGTCTTGCTTCGTCAACAATAACAATAGGTACATGGTGATTTTGTCCATTTCTTTGATGGTTGTTGGCAGTGCTTCTCTCTAAAAGATAATCGATACAACCAGGAATGATAAGTTCACGCACTTCACCGACAGTTTGTCGCACAATGTCTATGCTTTCTTCAATAATTCTGTCGTTAAGTTGCGGAAATATTGGTCTTAGTGCATTCCGTATTGCAGCTCTATCTTCATGAGAGCCCATTTTGAAAAAGAAACAAAGACAAAGATTAAAAAACTACAATTTTTCCAAGAACTTCAAACATAACACAGGAATCTYCCGCTCATCTTGCACACCAAGATCAACTTTCACTTCAAATTAGCCAATCAAATAAGGTTTTCTATTTTCACAATCTAACAAGATGTTTTATTGGCTTATATTTTTTCTGAGCCCGTATTTTTATTTCAGCGGCTTTCCCCAAAGTAAGTTCTAAAAATAGCATATGAAGAAGTTGTTTTCATGGGAATAAAATGGCGCATTGGTTTCATCGAAATCCTATAAAAGCTTCTGCACCAGTGTCTTTTGAAGCCATTAGACACATTGCAACAAACGCTTCCTCATCAAAGATTTTATCGTAAGTAAAAATAGGCAATTTTAGAAGTGATGGCATATTAGACTGATTCTAATATATCAAGCTTTCCCATGTAATAGCACCTAACTTAGTGTCATTCGTGTAATTTAAGCATTCTTTTTAGAAAAGTCTTACATTCAAAAGTTTATATTTTGTTCGACAATGCGTTAGCTTGTATTTTTATCAATGATGATTTCTGTGCTTTTTTTATCATACAAACTGTTACAAGAGTTACTTATAAAATCTACATTTTCATGATCATGTAAAATTTGCAAAGAATTATTATTAAAGCATATTGTTTTACAGAGATCTGAAACAAAGTCGCTCTCAATTACTGAGCCTGTTGACTGACCCAGCTAATGACGTCACTGCTGTCAAACAAGCCTATGAGCAATATTTCTCTTTTCTTGTTGGTCTCGTCCATGAACCTAGTGGTTCTGGTGAAAGTAAATTACGCAAGTTAATCATGTTCAAGTGGACTAATTCTATATGTGGAAATACTCCAACGTGAGTTTTGAATTCATCACAAATTGTAAAACAGCTATTACTGTAGCATATGGTGATTCAGAACATTAGGGTAGAAAAAAACAACAAAAAATGATTATGATATTTCTCCTTCTTTTTGAGTTCTCAAAAACACCCTTATTCCTGTCACAAGCAATGTGACTCTGTATTCTGATTAGGTTTTATATATTACAGTACCCTACATCATGCCAAATCAGAAGCAGATCCAGCTGGTGGGTGCTGGTGGTGCACACCCTCTCCTGAGATCTATTTCTTTCAATACTTTCCTTAATTTATATCTTCATGGTAACGATTTTTGTGGGGTACACCCCTCCTGAGAGGTCCACACCCTCCCTGAGGAAAATCCTGGATCCGCCCCTGCAAATGAAGTTATGCCAGTAACTAAGTGTTGTTTCTTTTTCTTTTTTCAACTTCAGATGTTCAGCAGATGGTGTCTTTGAAATGATATCAATGTGTATTAATGTTGCTTTATGGTATACAAAACATGCTGCTAAGATGGCTGCCAAGGAAGAGTATGTCAGTAATATATTTTGAATGGAGTAATTTTTGCACAAGTCAAGATTTACAAGAGCAATACTTATTAAATGATTGTGATAATATATGGAGACTTGAGAACAACTTAATATGTTAACATTTAAAGTTTTTAAATGAAAAGATTTCAAAGTTGTGCAGGTTCTTTAGGAATTATAATTGTAGATATGATTTTGTGCTTCAAAACAAAGTATGTCTCGGCATGCAGTATTCCACAGTTTGCTTAAATATTTTGGCAGAGGTTAACATATAATTCTTGATTTAATAGCATTACTATGGAAGAGGCAAAGGAGGTGCATACGTGCCTAAGAACAGCCGGAGGGATGTTTCAATATGTTAAGGTATCAAATAATATTAATTAATCAAAACAGATGGAGTACAATACTAAATTGGCATGCATTCAATATAGGAATAATGCATAAAAGAAGCTACTCTTATTTGTGGTACAATTTAATAATTTGTTTAAATTCTAGGACGGCCTGTTATCACAACTTGGTGATATTTCAGCAGAAAAAGGTGCAGACACTGATGGACGTGTCCTGGAAGCTTACAAAATGCAATGTGTGGCAGAAGCCCAAGAAGGTTTGCACCAGCTAGTCAGCCTTAACTAAGAATAATAATGTTATAATTTTAATATGTTGTAATAAAGATAATCTAAATCAATGTTATGGTTTTAGTGACCGTGGCACGTGCAGTAGAGTTAAAGCACAAGGCATCACTAGTTGCATCATTAGCAAATGAAACATCAGGACTGTTTACATCAGCAGGTAAGACATAATTTAATAATTGATGCTGTAAGAACTGTTCATTATTTATACATGTATACATTTTATCAGACACATGATTTGATAGTTTGACACTTTGTTACAGGATGTCATGTTATAACTACAATAATTTTTTTACAGGAGATGCACTAAAGTCAGTGGATGACTTAAAAGCAGGAAAATGGAGGAAATATTTAGAACTTAAAGCTGCATTTTATCTGTCTTATGTATGTAAATGCAATTCAAATTATTCATTGTAAAAATATTTTTTACCTTGATGGCAATGGACAAAAGTTAACATGTTATGTAGAAATTGTTTTAGGACCTCGAACATTACATGTAAACCTTTTGGCTTTTCTGAGTTTAACAGTTATGTTATAAATTTCAACATCTTTCCCAGGCACGGTGTTTTCAAGGAGAGCTGCTTCTTGATGAAGAAGAATGTGGGAAAGCAATAAGTGCTCTACAGGACAGTGACAAAAGTAAAAAAAAATTCTTGATTGCCTTTATTTATCAGATTGTAATGATAAAAGGAATAGAATGTCAAAGGAGGTTTTAATATTGCAGAGTATTGGGTAAAACTGTAGCCACCCAAATAATCTGTTTTCATGAATTAGCAAATCAGGATTACAGGTTCAGCAAATCAATACCATTAATACCACTCCTGCGTTTGTATTATTTTTTATGGACAGCTTCCTCCCAACTTGAATACACATTGTAATACTATGATTTTTCACTGTATTTAAGTGTATAAAAAGGCAGAGGCATTGTGTAAAGAGTATGCTTCAACCAGAGGACCAGGGACTACAGCACGCCCTCAAGAACATCCCTTTTTTAAGAGGATTGGTCCTCTGATGAAAACAAGACTGGATAAAGCCACAAGAGAGAATGGCTTTATGTAAGTGATTGAGATTTATTTCATACTGTTGTAATTTTTCTGGGGTGTCCTCTCTTGCCAGGGCTCTCTTCATTTACCTCAAAATGGTTATAATCTATTTTACTAACAGCTTCTCTTTATTTCATTGATAGTTATTTTCATAAGGTACCAACTGAACCACCAGATCTTGAACTCAAAGCAACTTATGGATTGGCTAGTCCCCAGGAATTCTCTCCTCCAGCTCCTGCTCCCACATGGGTGGATGCTTATGCTGCATTTGATGCTTCCAAAGCACAACCTCCAAAGGTTTGTTATCATTATTTTGAACACAGCTTAGCTCTTGATGATCAACTCATGTATAGCAGAGTGGTCTGTAGATTATGTTTGTAATAATTTACTATTGGTTAAATGATTCAGACTACTGGTGGTGAAGATGTTAAGCCTGTGAATGAAGCAGAAGACAAAGGCCCTGTCAAGCCAGCCAAAAACAGCTCTGGTTGTACCATCTCTTGAAATTATGTAGCAATGATATTGGCAAAGCCAATCCAGCAGTCTATCATTTAGTCTCTTTCAACAGCTGCGACTTCCGGTCTCGTCAAATTTCCTCCCCAAAAATTTGAAGAGACCGTAAGTCGTGGCTTTTGAAAGAGACTAACTATCATTGAATTTGAATTTGTAAAATAATTGTAAAAGTATACAGCAAAATAATCAATTTACGCAGGATATTTTACAGCAGTCATATTAACATTCATATTTCCCAATAAATTCTTAATAATAATTATTGACACAACGGTTCTTATCATGTTGAATGGCACTAAGTGCAAAATATAATTGTGATATCTTCCACACGCTAACTTAGTTGGTGCAAAAAAAAACAACAACAAAAAACAAACAAATAAACAAACTTTGTCTGAAAAGTAGCTTCTTGATGTTTTGGATATTGCTCTTTCATTAAAATAAAAGGGTCCTTTTATAGAAACATTAGTAAGATTTCTTCTTATTTACAGGAATGATTTATCTTTCTATAACAGTGTTACTGTGAAATTATTTGGAAGATGGTTGTAGTGCTGTGTAAATGATATGCCCCTTTCTGAGTGTGACTGCAGAATCTCATAGTGATAATCCAATGTGATGGATGATTCAATAAATGTCAATAAAGATATTAATTTACTGAACCAATGTGTAATGATTGATTTTTTTTTCTTTTTCTTTTTTCTTTCCTGTTCCTGTTCCTTTTTCTTTTCTTTTTTGAAGTGGTACGAAATCTAGCCTGCGTCATATCCGGACAAACTACGGTTAAGTGTCCGGATGTGACGCAGGCTATGCGAAATCATGGCTGGTGTGTATTTTTCGTCGACTCGAAGCTCTGGAGAAGGAGGAACGCTTGCTGCAAATAGATGCCACTCCTGTCACCCAGTGCCCGCACTTTTTCCATCCAGCGGATGTCTGCTGACATAGCTAGAAGCTCGCAATCTCGAGCCCAGAGTCTTCACGACTAATATCAGCGGTATGCTGACGCCGGAAAGACTCTGGAGGAATCACAGGGAGCCCAAGCAGTGACTTTGAACCTATAATGGTTAAAAATAAAATTTTACTTAAAAAAAATGGTCTACTTTTATTTTATTCAGTGTCACAATGCATTATAGATGGGTTTAAAAAAATTTCCCCTCCATGTATATATATAGTCACTATATATATACATGGAGGGGAAATTTTTTTAAACCCATCTATAATGCATTGTGACACTGAATAAAATAAAAGTAGACCATTTTTTTTAAGTAAAATTTTATTTTTAACCATTATAGGTTCAAAGTCACTGCTTGGGCTCCCTGTGATTCCTCCAGAGTCTTTCCGGCGTCAGCATACCGCTGATATTAGTCGTGAAGACTCTGGGCTCGAGATTGCGAGCTTCTAGCTATGTCAGCAGACATCCGCTGGATGGAAAAAGTGCGGGCACTGGGTGACAGGAGTGGCATCTATTTGCAGCAAGCGTTCCTCCTTCTCCAGAGCTTCGAGTCGACGAAAAATACACACCAGCCATGATTTCGCATAGCCTGCGTCACATCCGGACACTTAACCGTAGTTTGTCCGGATATGACGCAGGCTAGATTTCGTACCACTTCAAAAAAGAAAAGAAAAAGGAACAGGAACAGGAAAGAAAAAAGAAAAAGAAAAAAAAATCAATCATTACACATTGGTTCAGTAAATTAATATCTTAATTAACATCAATAGCATCCAACAGCTTATTTTCCGTTTATCATCCTCTCGCGTTGTTTAACTGTACATGTACGAAATATTTTGTGCAACTACTTTTTTTCCGCTCCACTTTACATGACAGACGTCTTTCATTTCGTGTTTGTGGTGTTCATTCTCTCATCATTACTTGACAAAATAGTCTTTTATTTCATTTTTCTTTGCAAAGGAACGAGTTTCCACTCGACGTCCTTCGCTCGTAGAAGAGAGCCAGACAATTAATTACATCTACTCGACCGCCAGTTGAGTTAGTCGAGGCCGTAACGGTCTGTTATTTTATTTATTACTCGTGAATAAAGTAGTCCTGGGTTCTACTTCTGTAACGCTACACGAAACAAAAACAGTTGCGAGACAACAATTGTTTTACTGTGAAATTCATAGAGGAGGGTCTCGATGGAGGTCTACGTTTGACGGCTAAAAAACGACGTTTTGACGGTTAATTTTTTACTTTTTTATCTTTACGTTTAAGATGGGCTAACTAATGCGCCCTTTCAAAAAGAAAAACTAGAGAAGAAAAAACTTGTCACTAAACTAAACAAATTGGAACGCAGAAATCACGTATCTCGCGGCAAAGTTTTAGAGTTATCCCGATCCCGCCGCGAAAAACGCAAAATCCCGATCCCGCTTGCATTTTAAGATCTCGCATCCCGTCAAAATTTTCGTCCAGATCCCGAATCCCGGCATCATATAATGGCTTATCCCGCATCCCGCAAAACCTATTGTGGACCCCAACTGGATTTGCGACGCTTTTTTAAAAACAAAAATGTGTGAAAACAGGTGTTTTTGTGCGATAAAAGTATAATATTTTTGACTAAACAGGCGAGCGCGCGCTGACGACTTGAAAAACCGACTTGAAAACAATGTGCGCTCGCGTCAAATAACGCATTCACCCAAAGTCTCTCACGCATTGACATCCGCTGGATGGCAAAAGTGCGGGCTCTGGGTACGAGATTGGAAGCTCGAGATATTCCCAGATATGCGTGCCAATTTAAAATTTAGGGCTCTTGCACAATATCAACGTCCTGATGTCTTTGCGTAGACTTCTCTCGAATCCAGTAAAGTCAGTGAGACCATTTCTGCTTAGTCCACTTTCTTTAGCTCGACAGGTAACGAATATTAAAACTATAGGTGTTAGCTGGATTTGTAAGGCCCGTTTACACTGCAATTTTTTGTTGGGAGATTTTTAGAAATATAAACTTAAGCTCAACAATCGCCGCATATGTCAGCTGTTTTGTATCCTATTACTAAATGCATATTTAAGCTTATGCTTATTTGATCAATATTTGTAGCACAACCATCGTTTTGTTTGAGTCTGGTCAAGGATGTGCATACAAGCTGGGATTTGATAACGGAGTTATGAGCTGCTCAATTCAGCTGATATTAATTAGTAGCATCTACAAAACTTGACATACAAGAAATATGTGATATGTATTTTAGATTTCATCTGCAAACATCGAAAAGTTAGAGCATGGTAGAGGTATACAAGTTGAATGGCATGATGGTGAAGTATCAAGGTAAATAAATTAAAAAATTCTTTATTGTGACTATAGACCCCTTGCATGTGACGTCAAAGCAGCTTCATCTGGAGGACAAAACAAAAGATTTTGAACCTCTTGGGAACTAGAATCCATTGTTTTGTCCTCCAGTTGGAGCTGCTTCCCATGAACTGCAAGGGGTCTATTGTTATTTCAATTCTAGACTGAGTATCAGGCTATCTCGAAGGGGTTGTTAGGGCCCCAAACCCCTTAGAGAGCCTGATACTCAGGCTATTTCAATTCAAGATAATTTCATTTACTTTTGACATATTGTGTCATCTGACCTGTAGACTGTCAGAAAGACCAATATAATCAATGCTATAGTTAAAGATCCACAATGGATTGACAGGTTTACGGAAGGCCATTCTAATCCAATAGGCCTTTTGCAGCTGGGGGTCACGTGACCACCCCTACCTTAAATTAATCGACTATCACAAAATGATGTTCAGAAATGGAAAGAGGGGATCAAAATTAGTAGGAAGACAAAGTTTCAAGTCTCAACACTAAATACTTCAAAAATGACAGCAAATATAAAATCATTTTTTTTCTAAAGAAACATATGCAAAAACAACTGGAGAGCAAGCCTTGCTCTCCAGCTCTATTTTCCCATACATTTCTTTAGAAAAATCAATATTTTACATTTGCTGTCATTTTTTAAGTATTTTAGAGTTGAGACTTGAGACTTTGCCATTTTACCTAAATAAACCTGCTGTCCATTTGTGAACATCATTTTTTGATAACTGATTGATTTAGGGTAGGGGTGGTCACGTGACCCCCAGCTGCAAAAGGCCTATTCCACAAGTAGCAAGAGTGTACTAATTTTTGGATTAACATTTCATCTTCTCAGATTTCATAGCAGTTGGCTGAGAATGAATTGTAATTGTGATAAATGCCAGCAAAGGCACAGTGGTCAAAGAACAATTAATGTTTCCCAGTTACCAAACACAATAAAGTTACAAGACATCAGCCTATCAGGTATTTCAATTCACATCTAGCTCCGTTCAATAATCAAATCTTTACTTTTACTATTTGTGTTGTCGATAAGCAAGATTTAAGAACTAAAGACATGATTATAATTTTCATATTGCTAGTGATTAACAATTTCATTTAAACTAAAGATGACAACTTAACAGTAACATGGGATCATAATCAACATCATAAAAGTTTATTCAAGCTTGACTGGCTAAAAACGCATTCCTACATGAAAAAAGACATACAAAACCAGAGCAACCAAAGAAAATTTCACACATTTAAAGAGGTAAGTATTCAAAGATAGCACACAGATAAAAGAAAAACAAATAGGTACATAATTACCATGTGATAATTCCAAAAAAATACTTCTTTTTCAAAATCATTAGTCATCTTTTCAGACCTTATGCTGAAAAAAAGAAGCAGGCAGGGGAGAAAAAAGCTGTTCCTTCTATTAGTCAATTAATTATTCTCATTGTTAGCCAATACATCAGCACTTGGTTACCTTAAAAAAACTGATCCTTGAGCACAATTTGTCCTCTTTTTAGACTGTGTATTAAATGTTTTAACCTCTGATTTTTAGGCCATACCTGATTCTTTGAATTATGATGATGTCATTAATTCTAATGGTGGCCTTCTCAAGTTAGTATCTCATATTATTTATAATTTTACTGTGACACTCTAAAACAACGAACAGATTATTCAATGTTAATTGTATTTTTGTATTCATGAAATTGTCTTAAACAAATATTCTAATGAATGTTAGCCATGGCCAACCAACTTTATAAAATTTATCTTCTTGTATGTAATACAATTTATCCTGGAAGAATTCATGACCTAAATACCACTATAAATTATTCTCTTTTCATGGATCAAGCTGACCAACTACTTATTTCTAAGTTCTCCATGATGTTAGATACATGTATAATTAGTCCCTGTGAATGTTTCTTGTATTTAGTGTTTTAGTTTCTTTATCAACACCCTCTTTAGACATTGTTGTCCATTTCCTATCAGTTTATTTAATCTTGCAATGTTCTTGGTTTTATACAATGAGCAAGGAGTGTTCAAAAACTCTGCTACTTTCTCCATGATGTATGCCAATATCATACACTGTTCAAGGAAAGTTTTATCACCATAAACAATACCAATTGCCATCCCTTCCACAGCAATGTGGGCTTGGAGCTCAAATGTGTATGCTTTTCTCACAACATCAGTAAGATTGACCTTCATCATAGTGTCCAAGGTGGAAGTATGAAATGCCTTGGATATTCTTTGAAGTGACAAGTACGCTTCCATGCCTTTTTCCATACACTTCAGTCTTTGCTCTTTTTGCACTGACATTCCAGCTTTGACAATGTAAAAGCTCCTTACAGCAATGTATGCAAAGCGCTGAGTATCACTGAGTAATAAAGGCAATTCAACTGCGGTAAGCTTTTTTTCTTTACGATCTGTGTAACAGCGGTGATCATAGTCATAATCTAGAAAAGCCTCAAGGCAATACCAGCAGAAAGCTGTGTTGCACATAATGCAAAACATATAGTTACAGCCTTCATTCTTCTCTATGGGGTAACTGCAATTTGGACATTTCTTGACTGACACTGAGGTAATTTCTGGAAAATCTCCAAAAGATCCCCTTCCTGTGTTTGCAGCTCTAAACTTGTTAGCATCAGAACATGGTGAAGGCCAGTGGGCTTGTTCCTGGCAACTATAGCACCAAATGTTTTTACAGGCACAAGATATAGGCATGCCAACAGGAATCACTTTGGAATTGTCCTTTGGTAGCACTTTCATAACCAAGTTGCACTTTTCTGATGGACAATTCTTCCATGATCTACTTGCTGCCATGGTTCTTTTGACTTTCCAAGAAATGTATTTTCCATACCAAGAAGGTGCAAGAGCCATGACAGTGACATGATCAACTACAGTTTTACAACAATGTTCTGGGCACAGCAAGTCTACTTGGCCATTTTTAAGCTTAGTGTCGATATACGTCTTCCAACATTTATTGCAAAATGAATGTCCACATGATGTCATTGTAGTAAACACCACAGGATCTGCAAATGAATGAAAAAGATAAGTCAAATGAAAAGACAGCAACAAATCGAATTAACATTAAGAAATAAACATGAAACATGAAATGTTGGCTGCATTGTTTTCCTAATAAAACAGTTGTGACAATAAAATGAAAATTATTAATTTGCGCATAATGAGTTAGCCCATCATCAGAGTTATATATTCTATGAAAGCCTCTGACTAAGAACTAACATGCAGATTATATCGATGTATTTTCTCTAGAAAAGTACTGAATTAAATTCAAAATACTAGAGCATCATACCTATAAGATTCTCAAGACAGATCCCACATTCAGCAGCAGTGGCATGGTTATAAGAAGTTGATAGATCACAATTTCTTTCTGGTTTATTGTCCAAATCTTTCTTTACTTCTGCAATGGCTTCTTTTCCCATGTAAACTTCTCCTTTCCAGCCAAAATGTCCTTCAAATTGGTCAAGTGAAGTGGATTTTTTAGATGAGCTTATTGTTTCCTTCATGCTTAGATGTTTCTCAATACAAATTCTGGCTCTGTTCACGACATCTTCAACACTTAAAACATCTGAACTTGTTGACATGGCAAGTTTGAAGTCTTTGATGATAAGCTGTGAAGTTTCTCTTGGTATCTTATACTCTGACAGTTCCGTATCAATTAAAAGCTTGATAGAAGCACACTTATGATTGGGTGGTATGTCCTTATTGTCTTTTAGCTCAAATAGGATATGTATTGATTCTGGACTAGTTTTACAGGGCGTTAAATTTGAATCAGATATATCGATTGCAAACTTTCTTGGAAAGCTCCCTCCTTCGTTGTAGTGTTCTCCCCAAACTCGTGTTAGCTCTTGGACTTGAACATCATTATCAACTATTCTTATTTCACAAAACTCATAAGCAGACAGCTCCTTGGAATCCTGTTGCTCTTGATGTTCAGCATTGTCATCAACTTCTTCACCAATAAGGGACAATTTCTTTCGCATGTATTTTTGTCTTCTTTTTCGTCTATTCTTATTATCCCAGCAAGTGCCCCAGCACCACTTACAGTCATGGACATCAAGGAGGATTCTTTCCAGCATTATGTCCCTTTTTCTTGTAAGAGCATGTATTCTTTTGTGCTCTTTAGTTGACTCTTCATCATCGACAATAATCACTTTGTTTTGAGGAAATAAAGGTTCTTTGTTATTGTTTGAAGTGCGTTTTCTTACACGTTTTGCATTTGAGGGTGATTTCTTGTTTTTATATGGAATTTCTGGCATATAGTCGCTGAGATACAATGAATGATCCATCAGGCTGTTATCACATTCAGCATCAAATTCCTCATCATAAACAAAGCTATCTTCCTCATCCCAGTCTTTTGTCATGTACGTATGCCTGTGTTTTGGAGTGTGCTTCTTCTTCCTACTTGAATCTTGATATTTCAGTCTTCCCTCGAAAGGCCATACTCCTTCAAAAAAGTGTAGAATTCAATTAATGTTTGTTTAAATTCGAAAGACAGACAAACAAACAAAAAGAAAATTCTTAACATAAACACTTCCCAAGTAAATACCTTTATGGTCTGGGGAACTGACTTCAAACACCACATCAGCTTCGCTGGCTTGAAGTTCGATATTGCTGAGCTTGCTATATGATCCCAAGATATTTCCAGACGAACTTTCATAGATTGACAAATCAATCTTCTTTTTTGTTCGTCTGTCAACCAGAACAAAATCTTCGTCGCCGAAATCTCCTCGAAAACCAGAAGATTCTTTGACCATTTCTGGCATCATCCAGCGATTGTGCTTCCCCAGCGAATACAAAACCTTTTCGGCTTCATCATGATCTGATTTGCGTTCTTTTTTTAGGACTAAAATTCCTTCCTTTCGTCGAGGGAAAGACGAACGAATAGTTCGGCCTGTACGATGTTTACCACCTTTCCACGTCATTTTGTTTCCTTCTCTCCGTTCTTTTGATATTGTAAGAGTTATGGTGTGGCTGAGATCGAATCTCGCTTTATACCCGGCGAAAGAAAGTTATTTTCTGCAAACTATGTAAATTGTGGTGCAATAATCGCAAGCTTGGCGTAACGTGGTGCAACTTCCGCTACTAATTTGTAAACATTTGTCACGCAATACCGGTCTAAATACCGGATGTGACGTACTTTGACAACAATATTCGATAGCAAATGGAAATGAATAAGAAAATGAGCAAATAAATGTTATTAAATGAAATTAGATGAATTAGATGAACAAACAGATAAAAAATTATCAAAAGAATGAATAAATAAAATTCAGCATAAAACCAGTAGCATTTATTTTCTTGTTAACTGTTTTGCAGATTTCTTCAATTAATCAATGAAAATGGCCTGGCACTAGTCAAAGGTGTACCCTGTGATGATGATAGCCTTTGTAAGGTAAAACACAGGTAGCCCAAACATGCCACTATCATTTTGTTTTGATATATTATTTAAACTTACAGGTTGTCAATAGAATTGGCCCACTACAAAAAACAATCTATGGTGAGGTAGGATAGCTCATTTTATGATTGATCAGTGTTCAGTGATTGATTTATCATTGACTATTTTTAATTGATGGTATCTTTAGTTCTTTGATGTCATCAGTACTCCCAATCCAATCAACATTGCTTATTCCAGTGTCAATTTGGATTATCATATGGACCTTGCATACTATCAGTCCCCTCCTGGTATTCAAATGCTTCACTGCCGAAGGTCAGTAATGTATAGATGATGACAGCATAATAATCTTTCTTTTAAATGGCTTATCATTATTTTTCAATCACAGGTTTGATAAAGAAGTTAAAGGTGGTGAAAGTGTATTTCTTGATGTGTTTGCAATTGCTGAGAAGTTTAGAAAGACAAACCCTAAAGAATTTGATACACTTGTTAGAGTACCAGCAACATTTCAGAAAATACACTTTGAAAGGTACAATCTTCTCTTTTCATTATTTCCCTATTTTTCCCTGTTCTGTATATCTGTCCTACCCTTTGATTTTGTTTCTTTTTGTCTCCAAATTTTTATTTCTTTGTGTCATATCCATTGCTATTTTTTTCTCTTATGTAACAGTCATTTTTTGTCTTTTTTTTATAGAGAAAATCCAGTTTACCTGAAGTATCAAAGACCACACATTTGTCTTAACCATCACAAAGAGGTATATTAAATGTTGTATAAAGTGGCACAATTCATTACTAAAATGATATGTTTTGTTTTCTTGGATAGATTGTCTCAATAACATGGTCACCAGCCTTTGAGGGCCCTCTTTTTGTGGACGAGGTATGCAATTTCTTAAGACTCTACAAGCTTTCAGCAGCCATAATAGCGATTTTCCTTTCTTCGTCTTATCTTCAACATGATATAAACTCACATGCATGCAAATCAAATCAGCATGCAATGTTGGGCTGATGTATTTAGTTTTATGTTATCAGGAGGATGTTGAACCTTACTATGAGGCTTACTTTGCATTTGACAAAGCTGTCAACCAATCAGAATTAAAGGTAACACACAAAGTCAACTGCATGCTTGTGCAATAATCTCCTCCACGGTTCCCTGCCCTGGGGGGGGGGGGGGGGTACTCAATCTCGTTTTGGATAGGTATGTGCCGACAGCGGTCTTAATCCCTGACCCTGTTTAAGACACTAGAAAGTGAAAATCCATACCCTGTTCAAGACAAATCGGAAAAATAAGGTATAGCTATCTATGCCGCAACCATCAAAACTGCAATTATACTGACATCCATCAAAGACAATAAGAAGTTTTTGATAGCACGTTAATCCTTGGAAAAGTAAAACGGTTTTTCTACTATTTCTACAGTATTTCTTATGAAAATATTACCCTGTCCAAGACACACACAAAAAATAAATCGGTCTTTTATCTAATTGTAGAGCCTGTTTAAAACAATTTCAGGCGAAATGTATACCCTGTTTAAGACAGCAAGGCAAAAAACAGTGACACCTCCCTGTATATCAAATATATAAGAGTACCCCCCCCCCCCCCCCCCCCGGGTTCCCTGCACAGTTAATAACAGTAAGATAATTGTTTAACAGGTGAAATTCAGGCTTGAAGAAGGAGATCTTATTGCTTTCAATAATATTAGAATTCTTCATGGGCGTGAAGAATTTGAATTAAATGGAGGAGGACGTTCATTAAGGGTAAAGTATTTCAATAGATCAATGTTAGATAACTCACACGTTATCTAGCTGTCAGCAGCAATTTAAATATAGATATGAAAATAAAAATTATAGTGATAAAATCTACTAAATATATATTTTATATTTATATTGATGTAGTTTCTGTATTTTCAGGGTTGCTATGTGAACATCGATGAATTTCGGAATAAAGTTGACGTCATGTCACAACTCCATGGTGATAAACGATTGTCAAAGAGAGTTGGCAATAATTGCTTCTTTTGAATCAAGAATGCAAAGCATTAAAGAAAACAATTCTGCATTATGTAGAGTGAGGATTTCAAAGACACTGATAAAAGATATGGTATTTATCAAAATTAGCATATGAATGGCGTTGAAACTCGACTCGCATTTGATGAATACATTTGATGAATTCGAGATTTCGTCATCCCAAAAATAAACCTCAGTTAAAAAAATTATAATTTTTTATAATTTTTATTTAATATATAAAAAGATACAAGGAAGTTTTTACTTTCTAGCCTGTGTACATCCGTTTCTCACCCCTTTTTGAGGGGTGAGAAACGGATGTACACAGGCTATTACTTTCAAGAAATATCATAATGTAATTAATACGAAACTATAAGTAAAACATTGCTATAAACAGTGTGAGCAGGTATTTTTGTTTCCGGGGGGAGCATTAACCGGGGATGGGGCTGGTTTATTACTCCATCACTCCATTCAAAACTAAAAGCCCGGCGGTCCCCGGCGGTAAGGTTCATGGCTTAACACAGGAATCCCAATAGCGTAGTATTTTGGCGCGCTCCGTCTCGCAAAGGATCATGGAGCCTTGTAGGTAGGTGCAGTTTTGCAACAGGCAAGATTTGAACTAAAAATTTAGTTAATATTTCAAAAATAACGAAACTTAGCATCAAAAACGGGCTGCTTCAAATCTAGAAAGAGCGGTATTTTGAAAGGTTACTTGAAGAATGCCAAAAGAGAGCCAACGGAATTATAGAAGCCATAGTTGTCATCACGGAAATCATTTCCATGGAAGACCTAGACATAGAAAGCACACTCCAACCAAGGAAAGAGACAGTGTTAGGATTTCAAAGGACCAGTACTCTGTGGTTATTCAAAGTTGTGAAGAAATGCTATCAAACATKCGCTCTCAAATTGATCTACTGCGTGCAGAACACCGTCCTAGAGATCACGATGATGATTCGTGTCGTGTTGCTTCGAGTTCATCTAGTTCTTGTCGTTCGTTTGAAACTTTATCTGGACTTGTTCCAATTAATGGACAACATAGTGCTATGAATAGTGATAGGCGAGATAATGAAATTTCTAATTTCCTTCCTCGTCTTCCTCCACTTTATAATCTCGGCAAACCAACTCATTCCCCAAGGTACTTGAAATTAGTGCTGTTGAATTGAACTTACAGTTTCAGCTTGTTGCCAATGCAAATTTTTTTGATCAATTGTTAGACAGAATGATTGACTGGTTGATAGGCTGAATAATGAGTGATTAACTAATAGCTGTAGTGATTTAGTGTATAATTAGTTGATTGATAAAAACGTTTTACACCAAAATTTGGATCATGATCATGACACTTAATGATTTTTGTTTTGGTTACTTGGGCTATTCAGCTCACTTAATAGTGCAATGTTTTGCAGACTACATTTTATTGCCATTTTGGTCAACTTCATCCTCCAAGTAACCAAAACAATGATACAACACAGAGAAAAGTTACCGATCATTAACTTGTGATTCTTTTTTATAGAAAGAGCCGTCTTGAAGATATAGTCAGAGATTTGGAAGATAAAAGTAAACTCAAAGCTAGTGTAACAAAGAATTCAATAGACAATGTGATGTCACTGTCAAGCAGCTGCCAACTTCAACTATTGGAAGTCTCACTACAATGCCCTTTATCTCAAGCCAAAATCAAAGTTCCTATTAAAACAACGACCTGTCAGCATTTAAGATGCTTTGATGCAGAGTCTTTTCTATCTATTATGATAGGAAGTAAAAAGCTTTCTTTATGGAAATGCCCAGTAAGTATCAGACTTGACACAGTTTAAAATACAAGCTTAGCACTTTCTTAGTTAGAGTATAGAGTGCTCGCACTTAAAGCGTGAAACAAATAGTACTAATTACTACTAAATAGTGTTGATTATACAATAGGAAACAAAGAATTTTGTATAATTTATCACCTATTTTGTAGTATTTATATTTCACACATTTAGTGCGAGCACTCTATTACAATATTACAATTATAGTTAATCCAGTACTCTTGTGTGAAAGTTGCTAATGGGGCGGAATAATATGGAGTCTGCACTGTCTTCATTAATCGTATTTCTTTCTTATGTTACAGATATGTTCAGCATGTGCAGAGCTTGATAAACTTGTTGTAGATGAATTTCTTCAAGAAATAATCAACACAACACCACAGGAAGCAATGAAAATTGAGTTTACTTCAAGTGTTAATTGGCGAGTAAAGAAAGAAACTGGAACTCCAGTTTCAGTGAAATCTCAACCAAAGGAATTGATAGATTTAACGTATTCTCCAAGGCCCAAGTCTGTTTTGATAGACCTTACTGATTCACCATAGAATACTGCCAAAGTACACAGACAATAGACCATGTTTTATAATATTATATATAATAGCTGATGCACTTTTGTTACAAAAAATTTTATAGAAACAAAGTAGCAATATCCGTTAGTATTAGCATAAATAATAGTTTAAGTGTTGAGTGTTATAAAATAGAGTCCCGTATATCCATGAAGCAGAGTTGGTTATAAGTTGATTCATGGCTATATTGGGTGCTCTCTATTGGTTATATATGCAATTGGATGATGGTAATTGAAGATGAAGTTATTGTACAAAAAAAAAAACAATTAGAGAGATATAAACACAATAAAAATCTAGTGAAACAATTTACATTAACTATTTATGTATTCATCACTTTAAGTCATTACTATTTAGATATGACCATTCTAAGAAGGGTGGGTAGTGCTATTCACTGGATAAATCCCCAGCTRGCAACTTGAAGCCCAAAATATACAGCTACACTCTTTATGGGAGAGTATGTGAATGATGGGTGGGTAGTCTACATGTACAACTTCACCTCCTAACAAGACCTACACTCCTTCCTTGAGATATTCTGGATTTGCTAATGCTGCTAGAGGTGTAATAATGATCAACATCCCTTAATATTTATTTACTTTTTTTACATTTTATTTTTACACTATTTTTACAACTTTTTCTCAGTATATTTACAAGCAATTCATAGGATTGTTATTTTTCCAGCACTGATTGAGTTGTAAGATTTCAATCTCTTCACTGATATGTTTCTTGACAGTTAATATTTAGACTTCTCATCTTTACTTGCTGCATGTTATAGTCGTAAACTGAGGAGCGTTTCTTTCTGCTAATTACATAAAACCAAAATATTTCATCAGATTGGTTGTGTATGCTGGAAGAAATGCATATGTGGAGTAGATAGACATCCCAAGTAATGAAACCAATGTTGCGTCTTAAAGAATTGTTAAGGAAAACTACATCAGGACCTATTAGTCAAGCCAAAAAACATCCTAGCCTGTGTACATCCGTTTCTCACCCCTCCAAAAAAAATTTTTGGAGGGGTGAGAAACGGATGTACACAGGCTAAAAACATCCACACCCCAACCATGTAAAAAAACAAAATCAAATAATCAAAAGGATCAAAATATCAAAAAATATCACAAAATGAAGACACAGAATTAAATTACCAGGTTATCTGATATTAATAATAAAGAATATTCTAGCGCATATGATCAGAAGTAAGCTTATACTATTTAGTTCATTATGATAAATAAGCACACATTCGAATGTTTCGCAATTTAATATGGTTAGACTTTGAAATGCTAGCCGAAACTTTAAGTCGCACAATTCCTCTTTACTGCTTCTCATAGGCTCAAATTCCTCACGATGGTTTAAACGAAACACAACAACACTCAAAAACAACAAAAGCTGTGACTAATTTTGTTAGATAAAGAGCACGCTTTTATATAATTCTGATGTTGATATTTATATACGATTCCATAAGGTGGCAATAATGTGTCATTCAACTTCATTGGTAAGGATACTAAATATTGTCCTTTCCCATGGCTCCAACATATATATTCCAGTCGTCAGGTTGTACTGGTAGACCTTTAAGCTGACCCACTCCCTTGCACTTTCAAACATGGCGACTCTTCGTCTTCTTTAAAAGGGATTCCTGTGTATAGGCAAAGCAATCTGTTTGGTCAGCTGATTTACGCAATCACTATAAATAAACTTTTCAAGATGGCGGTAGAATTTCATGAGAATCAAACAGAAACGTCCTTACCGTCGTCTCTGACATCTTCCACTTCATCCACAACAGCAGCACTTTTGTATGAGACATGCAGTTTATGCCTGAGGAAATCGAAGAACTTTACATGCGATATGTGTGTGTCAAGAGGAGATTTTAGCAAGTCAAAACAAAGCGAAATAAGGTAAAATTATTCACAGAGCGTAGATTCGTGTTCTCATATAAGTAGTCACCATTAATAACGAAAGTCATTGTTTATTTATGTTTCTATAGCTATTGTGAATTGCAGAGGAAGTATGAAAATTTAAAGCGATTAAAACTTGCATTCCAAACAAGGTAAACGACATAAAATCACTTGTAATCGTTAGTTTGTTGCAATGATTTGAAAAAAGAGTATTTGATGACGTCAAGCACGGTTGTTTACCTGCATCTTAATCTTCCCACAAATTAATTAAATATCTTAATTTAAATTATTGCACTTTAGATAAAATTTACAATGCACTCATTAGTTTGTGCATTTTCAATTATTTCCAGAATTTTAGAAATGCTAGAGAAAAGAAAACATCTTCATGCACTGGTATGTGTTGATAACCACGCTATGAAAATTATCGAAATATAAATCTTTAATTCCATTGGTGTTTATGTCAAGTTTTTCCCATCTATAATTCCATTCCATTTCTTTTCTTTTTTTTGTCACTTTTTCAAGCCTTAAAAATCTTTTGTATGTGAAAACATCATCCTGTATTTGATTTCATTTTATAGAAAATCACTTTGAGACTTGATAAACATGAAGATAATTCTAACATATTATGTTTCAGAGTGAAAAAATAGTGATAAAAAGAGAAAGAGTTCATTGTCTCCATCAAGTACTACACGACACTCAAGAATCATGCAACATAGGTAATAATCTCAAACTTCTAGCTCCTTATCTTCCATTCATCTATCCATTTTTCCCTTTATCTATTCCTTATCTTTTCTTCTATTCATTGATGACTCCTCATCCATCCATCCACATTCATTGGCCTTTTAATTTCCACTCTTTCTTTTTATTTACCCATGCATCTTTTCATTTACTCCATTCAATGGATCAAACATCAGCCTTACCCTTCTTCCTTTCCTTGCCTTCATTTCGCTTTGTTTGTTCATTTGTTTGTGATCTTGACATACTTTTGACTGTACTGTATTTTAGACTTACTTCAGCTGAATTCCCTAAGGGATTCAAACTCACAGAAGCAAAAACAGATGGCTATTAATCGTGAAAAAGTCACAAGAAAGGCTCATGCAAAGGACCAGTATAAGGTACACAGTATGCTTTTCTAACGTAACAATAAGCATGATATATGTAATTCCATAATTCTGACAATATTTAGAATGTGAATCATTATTGCTTTTGATGTTTTAGGCCAAACTTTCAGAAGACAGGGAAAGTCTTGTGATGGTTTCCAATAAATTGAGTAAATTAAGAAAAAGAACTGTCATTAATACTCAGCAATACTTGTTTCCTGTGGAGGCTATTCCAGTATATCCTGTTATGGGTACACCACCACCTCATAACCTTAATATCGACCTAGATACTAGCCAAGGTATTTCAGACATTGAATAAAAGAGGATGAGTAAAATGATGAATGGAAAAATGAAAAATAGATGAATGAATGCATTAGCAAATGATTAAAGAAATTATTGAACAAATGAATAAATAAGTGAAGAAATAGATGGTTGAACAAACAAAAGATGGATGAATTATCAAATGAAATGGATGAAAAAATGAAAGTAAATGAATGATTAAAGAAATGAATACTTGTATTCTTGATAAATATTAAACAACCAGATAGAAAAGTAGATGGATTATTACAGTAATGATGGTAATTATACTGATATGAAAATACCATTGTCACAACTGTGTATTTTTTGTGTTTGTGTAGATATTGAAGTAGATGAGATCCAAACTCATGAGAGTGTAGAGTCTGCTTTGGCAGAAGCCACTCAGACATCTTATGTTGAGGGAAGATGGGTCTCTAAAGAAGATGATCTTAACATTGAATATAGCATTGTGGATAGTATGTGTGTTCTACGTGGCAATAATGATTATTCTTCTTACTGTGACTGGGGTAATTTAGTCTATTTATATTCATTTATTCATTTCCTTGCTGTCCATAACTCCATTTAGTTACTCAGTCATTAATTTTAGCTTGGATTCTTTTTTCATAGTGAAAGCTCACAGAAATGGCTCTCGGGGTCCAGGTAAGTAATATTATAATTATATAAATTGATTTTATTTTACAGTAAAACCCTGCATGTAAGAGCTTATGAATTTCTAAGACTCTTAAAAAGTTTCATATGCAGAGTGTTTGTGTTGTTACTGTATTATATTATGCAGCAATAATTTGTTCTTTTTTAGATGAAGATTTTGGGCTCAGAAATCCAGCATTCACAATATGTGCTGGACTCAGCCACACTGCACAGTTTTTAGAATTGTTAGCATATTACTTTGATGTCATTCTTCCAAAAAAACTTAACTACAGGTAGGCTATAGCTAAATGATAATGATGAACTATTGTGAGATATCTCTTTACAGTAGCCATTTAATCCTGTACTATAATATTGTAACACATGTCATAGTTGATATACAGCATGGTTTGTGAGCATAAGAATTGTATGTTACCTGAGCCTTGGCAAATCAGAGGGTCAGACTTGATTGTTATACAGTTATATTCAAAAACCAGGAAAAATTAAATTAAAGATATTCTATGGATGATGTATTTTCACTAGCATGAGAAAAACCTAGACTTTCATAAAGTTCCATTTTGCTTAGCTCTCTTTGCTTATTTATTTATTTATTCATGTACTATTTATTTTTACTTGGTTCTCAAAATGTTCTCTATTATTAATGTGAGTTCAACTTCCATCAAGTTTAAGCCAAACATTTAAACATCTATTTGACTTTGAACATGTTTATTTATCTGCAGTGAATTCTGTCACAATGAGCTCAGTAAAAGTGAGTTCAGGAGTGCAGTCAGTCGTCTAAATTCAAATATTCTTCATTTATGTTTCACACAGGTAAATTTGAATAATTTTAATCGCATTAAAATATACCCACCCCCTAAGATATCCTTACCCCATAATGGAGTGATTCTTTTTTGCTCTTTTTTTCTACTGTAGAAGTTCTTTTTCAGGTTGTTTGTTTTTAAAGTACATAAAAAAAAACACTACTAAGAAAAGTTACTGTTACTGCAAAGTTGACAAAGGGGAGAGCAGAAGGGAATGATAGTTTTTTCAGTGATTTGTTAGCTATTTTATTCCATCTAATAGTATAAAATCGTCAATATTTTTTAGATTATTTAAATAAGGATTATCTTATCTTGTTTATATTTTTGATATTTTCAGCATGTTGACCCTACTCTGCTTTCCTGGGACCGCCCTCTTCACAATCTTTATGCTCTTCTAAACTCTTCATCAATAGGAAGGTATAGCAAGGCTTTTCATTTTAAGTTCTTTGTTTAAAAATACTTCAATTCATTTCTTATATACCTTGTTTTCATATGTATGATATCAAAGAGGCAAGATTTTGCTGTAACTCAGAATTTCATGCTACGCACTCATCAGACAGTAGCTCTACACTTTATGTGTATTGAGCACTCTTTAATGGAATCAGCTACTTCCTCATACGATTACCTTGTTTTCATATACTTGTAATGATTCTGTGTTTAGTGGGAAGGGTGATATACCCTCCAGAGGTCCACTTTGTGCTCTATTCCTGACAATTAGATTTACAAATCATTTCATTCTTCAGGATTGGTGCCTTTGAATGTCACCCAGAGCAGTTGTTGCTTTCTGTTGAACAAGATAAAAGCCAAAGTGATGACTCGGACATGGAGGATGGTGGTGCCAACAGCGAATCAGACACRGACTGGGAAACACTTCCCAAATCTTTGGACGTCCCAGAAGATGTACCAATTTACACAAATACATCAACAAAAACCAGTATGACCTTATCAAGTGGACAAGAGGAATCAACTGAAGGGCCTGGAACTACTGCTAGTTTGGTTACTTCTGCTGCTGCATCTGTAGCAGCACTGTGGCCATGGAAACGATAATAATAAATAACAGCAGAAATAGTATTTTAAAATCTATAAATAAAATGTACATGTCTATATATATTGATAGATTAAATAAAGGATATTTAATGCAGAGTTCAAGTTGTTTTAGTGTCTCTAATTCCATGTCATCGATCAGATGAATGGGCAGGATATAAAAATAATTTATTGCATTATTCTATCCTCTATCCCAGAACAATTTCTTTGATTTTACATACTCTACCCCAGAAGTCCTCTGTAGCCACTTAATTAAGAATTATTTGGTGATATGCATGAATTATCATATAGCAAATACGACACAGAGCGGCAGGATGAGGGTCTCAATTGGGGGTCCACATCAAGACTCACGCCTAAAAATTTGGCTTTTTCACGCCTCACGGCTAATATTTCAGACGTTTCACGGCTCACGGTTAACCCCATTGAGATCCTCCTATTAGCAATCCAAAAAAGATGTCGATTCATAYTATAACGTTCTATTTCGGGAATCTTTGGTTTAAGGTCTTTGATTCACTAAATGAGCGGGAGTTTTAAGTGTACAAAAAAATCCCCAAAATAGTACTTAGGTGTAAATCTAGTCTAATCAAAGATAATTTGCTGTATTTAGGTTCAGGTAGTCTCGAGAATGTCAACGAAATTTGGTCAAAAGGAAGACTACTTGAACCTAAATACAGTAAAGTATTTTAGATTAAATAAATAATTAATAAAATTATAAAATAAATGAATAATGAATTAATGAAGTTAAATAAAAAATAACACATAATTCATTTCCGTCTGTGCTGATCTCGGGACTCGATCCCGCAACCACTTCACCAGGGCCATCTGATTTGTACGCAACGCCTTAACAGTACTCGCCACAGTACCACATTCATTTACATAATAATAGACCACTTGACACTTTCACCGAATAGACTAACCCAATTTGACATTATATTTTCGATAGTTGCCTAGTTAGTGCAAGGGGTTATCCATCAGTGTCTAGGGGCCGGATACCTTCTCCCTCACTGGCTTTTTAGTTAGCGCGAAGTTAGGACCAATTATCGGGATAGCATGGAAGAGCCGAAATCTCTAACCGGAATGTAAATCGATTCGACGCCTCAGCTTCACAGAATGTCTCGGGGGAATCGTCCCAATATTTTTTCGATTTTATGGTCAAGGGTTCAATTCCCAGTAAGGCTACTTCCTCTTGCTTCATTTTGTTTTCCTCTGTTCTTTTTTTTATTTTTTCTATTCCTTCTTCCTTGCTTTTCTTTTCTCTTTCTTTTTTTCTTTCTTTCTTTCTTTCTAATAATCATTTTCAATTTTTAAACTGATTTATTTTTCCCTTCTTTGAAATGTTTTCAAGTGAGAGACTGGTATCTACAATGGATTCTCTCAGCCAATAAGCGTCAAGTTATGAGAGGCAATACTGTGTGGTCACAAACTCACAGTCGAAACGATGCTTTGAAGAAAGTCAATCACAAATTTACCAAATACAAGACATTTTGACCATCTGAATGACTCCAAATAGATGACATCCACAGGTTTATAGTGTTCACAAGAGAACATGCCTCGCAAAGGAGGAATTGGTTGCTTTGGGTCGCGATCGCATCATCCCGAAATAAGCTATGGGATTCAGACTGACGGGGTTCACGTACTACGCGAATTTACCCAACCAATGCCGGAAGAGAGCGAACTTAACGTTAAGTTTGCTGAACTGGTGGTAAGTCTTGGCCTATAACAATTGATTGATATGTTAAGATAATATTTTATTTATCTTCTTGAATTATAAGTACACGAAACGATGTAAAAACCTGGTAGGGTCAGAGGCGTGTCGTAAGAAGAGATGAAGATAAAGCTTGCTTTCGACCCTTGTAGGCTGTCATATCTTGTTTGCTCAAATTCTTTTGGTTAGGAATGAATATTCAGCGTATAAGATGTCATTCCTCTGTCCCTTAGGATAGTGAAGTTTTATATCCTTTGTTCATCGAATACAGTACATTTAAGTTGTGTTCTTGTGATTGGATTGTTGTGATATGAAATAAAGACAATTTATTGGGTATGGTAATATTCACGCCAAAATATCGCTGTTCACTTGTGATCACTGATCGATATTTACATTCTGAAGCTCTCTGAATGACTTTATGTATTAATCAAGTTATRTTTTAACTATAAATGCAATCTTTTCTATACTAACTCCGTCCATTCCAAATATCTATGGTGTTGTCATCATGTGGAAGACTTCCAAAACGCTCGAATATTAATTTCACGCCGAAACGCTCCTTTGAAAGTTTATTGTCGTTGCAGTGGTTTTCGCTATTGCTTTGAGACAAGCTAGTTGAAATAGCTAACTTGTAATCATTGTCAACATGTAACAAGTGAGGAAGATCCATGTTAGAATAATATTTACGTTGATGTCTATTGATCAAGCACTGTTTGTTTTCATCTTTAGATGAAGATAACCACCCTAAAAAATCCTGAAAAATTAAATTTATTAACTGAGACATGAAGAAGTACTTAACTAAAATATTAGATGGTGGTATTTGTCTCACTAGTTTTTCAAACTACCAGTCTTAACATCAAAATATTTTGATAATTTTTAGGAAGAACTCGATCTCACGTCTGTTCATAAGAAGCTCATGTTTGAACTTCCCCCAGAGAAGAAATGGCAACTATATCTTTCCAAGAAAAAGGTACCCAGAAAACACTGAAGTAACTAATTTGCGCTTATTGATCCATTTGAATGATTTGTAAACAAACTGTGAAATACAATGTGATTTGATTACAAGCATCCCAGTAGGTCTGAAGTAGTTGGATGGTTGAACCCATCCCAGGCGTAACAACCTTAATAGGGATAATATTACCAAGATTATGGATTCTTGGCATCTTTTATCACTTATTTTGTTCAATATAAGAAGTATGTCCATTCAAAGACATTTTCATGATTATGATTGTATTGCAGATTTATTACTAATCAAATATATTGGATTTTAGAAATATTTTTGAATTATTTCCCTCAATTTTTTTTTAAATTTCCATCAATTTAATTATTTTATATTTTGTTTATAATATGTTTCTGTTTTATAGGAACAACAAGAACACAGCTCAACAAGTTATCCTGAATATTATATTGACCAACTTAATTCCCTTAGTTCACAAAAGGTTTGATTATCATTATTGTATTCGTAAAATATCATGATGATATGATGTGTCATTAGTTCAATCAGGAGAAATGTATGGTTCAACAAATGCCTACAGATCAATGTCTTCTAACATAAACTTCCTGGTCATATTATTCAAGTTTTGCTGTTCCATTGAAATCATTAATACCAATAATATTACATTTTTCTAGTTATACTTCTCCAAAGCTACAGAAGATAAATCATTAATACCAATAATATTACATTTTTCTAGTTATACTTCTCCAAAGCCACAGAAGAAAATGAAAGAGCTCAACTACTAGATGGGCTAAAGACAGCCCTAAGGACACAACCGCTCAGGTAAAGTATGATAAAGTTACTTGTAGATTAACTCAGGTAATCCAACCTGCATTATTCTCTAGTTTTACATGTATTTATGTCATTGTTCGTTAGTCAGAGCAGTGGAAATAACAATGGCAAATGTGCAGCAATTTTGTACCTAATTAAGATATTTGTTTTGTTGTACAGGTTTGTGTATAGATTTGTAGAATTAGATGGCTTGGCTTGTCTACTAGGATTGTTAGAGACTATGGACTTTCAGACATGGTGAGTGAATGCAGATGCTTTTATATTCTCAGATAGCAATTGTATTGTACTGTAAGCTACAGTAGTTTACAGGTCATGAGAGGTGTAATGTAGTGAAATATTTATTAAAATCTCTCTTTCTTTTTGCAGCCAAAGTAAGATTCATACTGCTATCATTGGTTGTTTTAAAGCTCTTATGAATTGCTCTGTAAGTATTCCTTTTATTGATATAATTCATCCATATCTATTGTAATAAACCAAGGATTTTATTGTTTTGTCCTTCAGCATGGTAGAGCTCATGTACTTGCACATCCTTCATGCATCAATGTAATAGCACAAAGCTTATTGACTGAAAATCTTAAGACTAAAATCCAAGGTAATATTCAATAAATCAACTTTAGAAGTATAGTAGATATATTACTTCCAATATTATTTAAGAGAAATAAGCCTCTGAAACAAAATTGACTTGTTGAACTTCATAAGACATGATATCAAAAAAAACTATAGATATTATTTTTATTATTTTTATATTCAATTTAGTTCTTGAGATTCTTGGAGCTGTGTGTCTTGTTCCTGGTGGTCACAAGAAAGCCTTGGATGCCATGACACACTTCCAGAAGTTTGCAGAGGAAAGAACTAGATTTCAGGTATTCTTTCATCAGACKTTTAGGGTGATTCAAACTATGACATAAGCAAAAGCTTGGGAATTTCTAAGGGGGGATTGAATAAGATCATGCTTACGTCAGTGTCAACCAGCTTCTGATTCTGTTTGTGTTATGGTGAGACTATATRATATGATGATGATAAAATGATTTATTTGTGATTATGATAAGAYGCCATTTTAATAGTGATAATGTTAATAATAGCTAATGGAATTTAATATTATTATWTGTTTAAACTGTTTTTGTTTTCCAGACACTTGTGAATGACCTAGATAGAAGTACAGGAATTTACAAGGAAGAATTTAATTTAAAGATTGCAATTATGTCATTTATTAATGCTGCATTGAAGTATGGTGCTGGAGAGGTGAGGATTAGTAACTACTAACAAAGTGAATAATAATTATATAATATTCTTCAACATCCTTTATTTTCTTATCATATTTCTCAGATTTCTTTCACCATTATTATCACAATTTCAATAACAGTTCAACACATAAMCACGAGAGTATGACCATGGTTTCATTACTTGATAGAGTATTTAGATTTTAACAAGAATTTCTCTCACCCAGGAATACTTGGAGTTTAGAGTACACTTGCGTTTTGAATTCCTCATGCTTGGAATTCAGCCAGTTATAGAAAAATTACGAACAATGGAGAATGCTACCTTAACTAGGTATATTATATTTCTGGTTAAAATGTTGRGTGTTTTATGTCAACATATTACATGTTTTATGCCTACTTTAAAGTATTTGCATGATTTTTTGGCATGTCAAGTCAYACCATTAAAGATAATGTTGAAATTCTTCTTTACTTGAAATTTGATTTGATGCTTTATTCTCATTGATTTTGTTTGTTATCATAAATTTAGTATTTCTGTTGTCTACATTCTGTGAAGTGTAATGGCAAGTGTACTTAGTAACAGATCTCATCTCTTTGTAGGCATTTGAACTTTTTTGACATTGTGAGAACTGAAGATGAGAAAGAGCTTGCCAGGAGATATGGCATGGTAAGAATCACATGATAAATCACTACTAGGACTATTGGTCAAACAGGCCAATGAGAAGGCAGTAAAACCAGAAATATTGAAAGCGATAACAGCATTAAGCCAGTGGTCTCTCTTTAAGCAGAGAATCATGATGAACTGAAAAACCAGCAGTCATGTTAGAATATCCTTGGTTGTTTATTGAGAATTGGCTKATTTTGGTCTATAATAAATAGTCTWGATAAYAATAATAATAATAAATAGTCCAGATAATTGACAACAACTGCACATAAAATTGAATTTGTGCTAAAACCAAAATAATTATGTTATGTTTGTTGTTAATCTTAATGTTGCTTTGTTGCAGCCTTTCATAGACTTCCGTAGTGCTAGTGGTATGTTAGAATTACTGAAGAGAAAGGTTGGACATACATCATCATATCCACACCTTTTGTCAATACTGCACCATCTTCTTCTTCTATCAAGTGAGTTTTCTGAATTAATCATGAAACKTTTCAAGTTTTGTCTTTAGGAAACCCCCATGTCTTCTWCCTGTAATGATTTGTGTGTCTTTGTTTAACACAAACTGGTTTGTCCTGTAGATGATCCATCAGTTGCRCGTCACATGTGGCAGTTGATAGACAGAGTTATTCAACAAGTGGTTTTGCAGCAAGATGATGGTGGAGACCCYGATGTTGCACCATTAGAAATYAATGTTAATTTCATCATGGACTCGTATGTTTTACTCTTATTTACTCGCCACTCTATTATAGTTGWTAAATATGAAGAAATCATGGGTTTATTACTTGTCTYGCTCARAGTAATGCCTGRYCCTCTTAATCTSCCTTTGGGGAGAAGAAAGAGGGYCTCATAACACARTATACACARGCKACAGTAGCATCATCAGCAATKTATTGCTATGTTATTATGTTGTTATTGAAATCATTAATATCAATTTTGTTTGTATTTAGATTAATACAAGAAAGTGTTGGTGGAGGTATGTTTTGTTAGTGAATAGAATGTAGCTTCAGTGGATCACATTAATGGCAAAGTATTGCTGATCTATTGTTATAATTTATTTTATACAGAACTGTTACTRATAACTAATGATTTATAAAATAAAAAATAGAAATGTTTTATTTATTTTTTATCCATTTTTTAATAATTTCTTCATATTCTTTGAACTAGTGGAAGATCTCAAAGCTAAACTTACAAAACGTGAAAGAGAAGTTGAAGACAAGAAGGAAGAGATGGTTAGTTTTCAACAATATGTGAATTTCCTTATAAATTTAAGTTAGAATAATGTGTGTGTTGTATCGCAGGAGGAGCTCAAGGAACAGGTTGATAAAATGGAAGTGAAACTAGAAAGAACAAATCAGGAACTGCAAGAAGCAATGCAGAGAATAAGAGATCAAGACCAGAAGTTGACTGACTCTCAATCCAAGGTTTGTTTGCTATTACACTTGGTTAATTTATATTTTTTTGATGGGGAAGAATCAAGCTTATTCTGTTTCTGATAAACAGCTTGAACTTGAAAGCCGTGAAAGAACGAGGCTTGAGGAAGTGATTAAAAGTACAGGAGGTTCTATACCAGATGATTTAAAGATCTCAAAACTCAACAATGCCATCAAACCATCACCAATGGCAGGTCATCCACCTCCACCGCCCCCACCACCTCCACCCCCTGGGGGTGCAGCCCCACCTCCTCCTCCACCACCACCAGGACCACCTGGGGGAGGAGCACCTCCTCCGCCACCACCAAGCAGTGGTAAGCATTTTATCATATTACACTGTGACATTGTGCTTGTTTATATGAACTATGTGGTTATAGATTGATGTGTCTTTACATTTTGGTAATGATCACAAAGTAGAGAAACCATTATATAATGATGATGAATATGTRATGATGAMGACACTTACAACCACAAAGATTTCTATTTGGTGCATATTTATTTAGCTTTCTGTGAATTCAATTTTTCCAGGTCCTCCTAGTGCTCCTGGAGGAGGTTTCTTTGGATTCAGTCGTCAGCCAAATAGAAAAGCACCCAAACCTTCACATCCTTTGAAGTCCTTTAACTGGTCTAAACTTCCTGATGTAAGTATGTTGATTAGTTATCAGATGATGGCGATGAAAATAGATGGCAAAAAATAATGACAGTGATGCTGATATCATAGAGTTAATGTTAGGGAACAATCCCATCTTAATAATGAAAGTAATTATGTTGTCTTTCTTTCAGTCTAAGATTAAGGGTACAGTATGGACTGACATTGATGATGCTGAGGTAATTAATTATTGAATACTTGTGATGAACCATTAACCATTTAACCTTTCAATTAAACACCAGTAAACATTGTTTGTTTTTCTTTAGGTGTATGCTGTGATGGATTTTGAGGACTTTGATAGAATGTTTTCAGCTTATCAACGCTCTGATGTAAGACTGTATGTTTCCTTGTAGTATTTACATGACAGACATTAAGCACAGTGTTAATTTATCTTAATAGAATRCAGCTCCCAAAGATGTCACAGATTCAAAACCAAAAGAGTTGTCACTTATCGACAACAGACGAGCTCAGGTAAAAAGAAGCCTCAAGGACATTAATAATTGCCTGAACCTACTTTTCTCTAGGTTAATCAATATTTAAATATGTCATGTTCTCTTTGATATTCAGAATTGTGGTATTTTGTTGTCCAAACTCAAAATGACAGATGAAGAAATCACTGCTGCYATGTTAAGCATGGACGAAAAGGATGAATTATCAAAAGACATGGTTGAACAGGTGAACTTTTTATKTACAATTTGTGATAATAAAGTGAATGATCACAAGAAAGTCAAGTTCTGTTCTCTTTTTCTGAGTATTTCTAACAGTTCACATACTGTAAGCTTAGAAAGTGATATGACAAGCTCAACTTGAGCATTAAGTCCAGCTGGTTTGTTTATGAAGCAGTCTATGTACACCATGTTAAGTAAAGCTGCTTTACTTTACYTAGTTTACCAATACATATCAACATGATCTCTTTTCAATGAATGGATCCAAATGACAACACACAGATTCATCACTGCCCTATGACATTTTAAGTGTTTTAAATCATTAAAATGGTTTCAGTGTACTCAGACCAACAACAATTATTTTGAAGATATATTAATTTCTCTGTCWTTCTGTTCAATAGCTGCTCAAATATGTACCAACATCAGCAGAAAAAAATCTCCTGAATGAACACAATAAAGAGAGAGATAAATTTGCACGGGCYGATAARTTTCTGTATGACATGAGTAGGTATGTTTCACGTCCCTTGCATTATGAATTCACAAGATATGCTGGACTATTTTTAACTCTTTCTCTACAATTCTGCTTAATTTTAGGATTGTTCATTATGAACAGCGGCTTAAATCACTATTTTATAAAAAAAGATTTACTGAAAGAATGGCAGATGTCAAGCCCAAAGTGCAAGGTTGGTCTTTAATTCTTCTATTCCAGAATAAAAAATATTGAAATAGTCAATGTAGTGAAAGAWGTTTATGGTTTTTCATTTCCACCATCAATACCTTATTATTTTTAATTCTTTCTAGCTATTATAAGTTCCTGTAAAGAATTACATAGAAGTAAAAGGCTAAGAATTCTACTTGAGGTTGTGTTGGCCTTTGGAAATTACATGAACCGTGGTGCTCGAGGCAATGCTGCAGGTACTCTCTAACTTCCAAATAGTTGAAGAAAATTGATTTAATTGTTTGTTTGTTTTTCTTTGATATTCCATKTTTCTTGCACATTTTAATGCCTTTTTGCATTTCAATGGTTTCCTTACATTTTGATGGTCCTTTAATTCCTAACTGCATTTGAATTGTTTCCTGACCACATTTGAATGGTATTCTAACTACATTTGAATGGTATTCTAACTACATTTGAATGGTATTCTAACTACATTTGAATGGTTTACAGACATGTGAATAGTTCTTATTCTTTTTCAGGTTTCAAGCTTGCAAGTTTGAATACAATAATTGATACAAAATCAAGTGCTAATTCAAAAATTACTCTTCTTAATTACCTTATAACTGTGCTAGAAAAATCGGTACGTTTCTCTAGTTGTTTGTTGGTTCTCTTTTTTAATTTTGTTATACATATAAAGTTCTTATTTTTGATTGTTGTTTTACTATTTTCTATTGCCAATTAGTATCCAGACGTCCTTCAATTAGAACAAGACATCCCTCACATACGAACCGCAGCAAAAGTAAAGTAAGTTCACTGCTCTGTGTGATCAGATATGACCAAACAGACTAAATGTGTATGGCTTTTTACAGCTTAAATGAAATGGAAACAGAAATCAATTCAATAAAAAAAGAACTCAAGGAAGTTGATAAGGTATCAATAATGATAAGGATGATGATGATGATGATTAGGATGATGATGATGATGATTAGGATGATGATGATGCCGCTGATGATAGCTGGTACAAACGATGGCTTTAACTCGGGTCTGAGTGATGTTAACGGAGTGTGATGTCGTTTTCAAGGTATCGTTCATGTTGACAACAGTTTTAATGTCTCTGGTCTAATTTGTTTTCAGGAATTAGAATTCCAGAGTCGTAAAAGAGAGAGAGTACATGGCGATAAGTTCGTCGAGTCGATAGGCATCTTTGTTAAAGTCGCACAGGCTTCTTGCTCTGAACTGGAAGATTCTTGGGAAGAACTCAAACAAAAAGTACGACAATTTATTTATCTCTTTTTAACAATGTTTAGCGATTATCATATGACGTGGGATAAATGTTTTTTTTTCAGTACCAGAAAATCGTGAAGTTGTTTGGCGAAGATCCCAAGTCTACCCAGTCTGATCAGTTCTTTGGAATATTTAACACGTTCCTGATATCATTTGCGGTATGATAATCACGATGTTTATAATCGTCAATGTCTTCGTTGTCTTTTCAATGTAGTTACTGTTGACTTGTTGGAGATCTCACAAACTTGAATCACATTTTTTTTTAACCTTACGGCTCTTGAAAAACAGGAAGCAAGAAATCAAAATGAAGAAATGAAAAAGAAAAGAGAAGCAGAAGAAAGAAAGGCAAAAGCTATGGCTGAGGTTAGTCATGGTTTACTCTGACTCCTCTCATGCGCTGCTTGATGGWGTGCACTGGATGCCGACCTCTGTTCAAATTATAAAAGCAGTGATAAACTCTTATTTATCCTTATTTGTGTTCACACAGTGGTTAACTGTAGTTGATCCACACCTCGCACAAAATTAATTGACTTGACTTCCTTTTTCTCCACAGCAAAAAGAAAAAGACCGACAAAAGTCTGCTGCTCGAAAACTAATGAAAGAAAAAGAGCAACAACCCAAGTCACAAAAACAAAAATCGTCAGGGGATAAYAGAGGGGAGTTTGATGATCTCATTTCTGCTTTACGGACTGGTGATGTGTTCGGGGATGAAATGTCTAAGATTAAAGGACGTCGGCGTACAGCCGGCCCGAAGAATACACGCAAACCTCAGGCTAAATCAGAACGGGAACGGATTAATTAACAATAAAATATAGCATATTATTATATAGTACGTTAAATACTACAGTATTACGTCCAAATTGACGTATCTTACTAAAGCAATACGTAATCAGTGACGTCATCTAGTAKAATGATCTCAGCATGACGTCATCTGCAATGACGTCGAATCCAACATTGACGTCTCTTGCTGCATTTTAGCAGTGACATGCTACACARTTTCCTTTTCATTGGAAAATGGTCTTGCGTAAGAGACAGTTATCAGTATCATAAAATCTCCAATAAGCACGAACACCACAACAAACGTGTTTCACTAACGCTTCGTTCACAAAAAGACATAAAGATGAGTAAAAATGCTTGTGCCTTAATTAGTATAGAAGGCTTTTGTCGACGAACAGATAGAAGATTCTGGTTTTTTTTTAATTTCTTAGTATGTTTACAGGAATATTCATGCTAGTTAAATGATGAACACTAGAAAGGATATTGTAGGGTCCAGGTCCTTGTAAAAAGCTGTAATATATAAGTTTAATTCCAGTCGTGTAGACCTGAATTTTAACAAAGTAAAATGTAAAAGACTAACAGCCCGAAAAAAATGAATTAGTGCTGGTCTTCAAATAAAGCGCCACAAGAAAAAATTCTTTAAATATCATTTTTCCTCTTCGGTTATTTATTTAGTGTCCTGGTTGGATTGATTGCCTGGTGGTCAGTTAGTTTTGATTTGTTCATTGGTCGAGTTGGTTCAACCAACCAATAATTGGCTGGTTGGTTGGTGGTCGGTTGATAGGTCGGTTGGTCGATTCCTGGTCATGAGAAGTGCCGCTTCTGTTTWCCATTGCGGTTGCAAAGCATCTTGGATGAAGTAACTGCAAGGCCCGTYTGCGGAAAGGTCTGTTGAAAATATTGTACAGGATCGGGTTGATGGCACTRCTAAGAAATGCAAAATATACAATTGATAACTCAATCATTCTTGGTAATTTTGTGTAGGCATTGATATTCAAAATGGTCGAATTAGGAAYCCAGCACACRACAAAGCCCATCACAAYAGCCATCAAAGGCTTTGTCACACGAAGTTCTTCATAAGATAGTGATGATCCTGTCCGCTGCCGGTTGTTGATCGTTGAAGCCACTGAATTCCTGTGWAACTTAATGAATTTGTAGATCTTCCAATTGCAGATCAATGCCAACATGATCGGTGTAACAGCAAAGATAGCTTGATARAGTCCTGTGAATAATTGATATGCTYTTTCGTTAAGAATCAAGGGAAAATACATGCATCGTCCTGGGAAGAAGACAAACTCAGCAACTCCAGTRAAATGAATRRAGATATTAAAACACGAAGCGAAAATCCAACACAAAACTATCGACAATGCTGCAAACTTTGGTTTAAAGTARGCACGATACTTGGCCGGCTTTACCACGCAGAAATACCTGTTTATCCCAAGTAAAGATGTAGTGTACAAAGAGGCCAACACTAGTTCTGCAAATAGAAAAAATGTACTTTTACCAACAAATGCACCAAGAACATCACGTCCAAAAGCTGCAGCAGTTAGTGTGACGGGCATAACCAGGACAGACATGATGACATCAGATACAGCTAGAGTTAGAATGTAATAACTAGTAACGGAGCGAAGACGTGGTGTCTTGTAGAACACATACAACACACATGTGTTGCCAACAARAGCTGCAAGTGCTATGATGACAAGAAKACCAGTTTCAAAGATGACCAGAGCTAGTGGTCTGTTAGTAAGCTCATTGCCATGTTCCATGAGCCTSTGATGACTCAAGTTTGAGATCATGGCGTGGTCATATTCTGTTATTTCAATTGCGCATCCAKTTCAACTTTMKTGCGAGACTGACTGACATGGTCACATACGAACAGAATAACAGAAAGTGATCAAATTCAATCGTCGAAGACTTTTATAACGTATATTCTTAATTTATATGATGGGTGCGAAAGACTCCTTAAAGATAAGGCCCCTTACCCCAATTAGTAACATATTGAGTATGGCACTCGTTATCAGCCAACAGAATCTTATATAAAACATAGCTGAAAAGTTATAAAGTTTGGGAGTAGTTGCAGCTTTCACATGATCAAACATATCAACTTAAACACAGACAACTATCAAATAGAAACAAGTCACTATAGAACAGAAATTGAAATTGGAAATGCGCCAAATTGACACTCGGTTGGAAAGCAATCGCACAGAAATGATTAAAGTTAGTCTTTTTCTTCCCAACAKGATTCAATTAACTACAGCCAAACTGATAAAAAGCCAGATGTTTCATTGTAGCTGTTTTTTCCTTTCTTATTAAGGCAGTATCACTTTTAATGGAGCACCACTAATCAAGAACCTGTCCGAAATATCCACACAGATTTTAGTTATGTTTTCTTTTCTGAATATTTATAAAAACAGGTAAACATGCGGACTAATGTTTTTTTCATGTAATTGTATTCATATCATCAAGGAAGATAGGGCAATTACATGTAGCATTGGCTGGTGTATTCAAATGATGCAATGGCAGCTGTAAACGCATCCTCATCACAATAGATTGCAGGGCGTGGTAAAATTACCCAATCCAATCCACATATCTCAAACATTTTTTACTTGCTTGACAAGATGCCAAATCTGTTACAATCCTTTTAATTTTTGCGAATCGCGTTGGCTGATAACGCTATCGGCCATCGAGTTAATTGTTCCCGACAAAGCGAAAGCAGGTTGCCGGCGAGTTAACGTACTATTACCATTTCTAACATAATTTGACCGCGGCCTATGAAAATGCATCTACCGTCATGAGTGATGAAGAGAATATGAAGCAATTCGATCATAGGCTTGCTAACAGACCACTAGSTCTGGTCATCTTTGAAACTGGTCTTCTTGTCATCATAGCACTTGCAGCTYTTGTTRGCAACACATGTGTGTTGTATGTGTTCTACAAGACACCACGTCTTCGCTCCGTTACAAGCTACTACATTACAACGCTAGCTGTCTCTGATGTGGTCGTGTCCATAACAGCAATGCCTACATCTATTGCAATTTCAGTTTGTGAATGCGATGCCCTTGGTGTGCAACTAGGAGCAATTGTCCAGTGCRTAAATTCAGTTGCAATCTTTGGTTCCTTACAGACAGTGCTTATGATAGCAATTAACAGATACTATTGTGTCCTAAAACCGGTAAAATATCAAAAATACTTTGAACCAAAGCGTACATTGTTGATGATAGTTGGCTGTTGGCTTGGTTTAGCATCGAGTATTATACCAGTAACTGCATTAAGCGGTGTTATTCTTTCACTAGACTTATAYATGTACATCCCTGCTGTTTTGGACAGGCCAGTATTGTTAATAATCWCGGGGCATATTTTCCAAATCTTTTTCGTCTTACTCCCGATGTTTGTAAATATCTTATGCTATTGGAAGATCTACAAGAATGTCAAGAATCATAACGATCAGGTAGCTCTAACTCTTAATGCTGGAAACAATGCGGCAATCACGTCTTTGAGTTCAAGCCAAGTTCACGTTACACGGTCCATGATGGCCTTAGTGATAGGATTCGCTGTTTGTTGGATACCACATTCAACTCTTTCTCTAGTTTTGATTCACCTACCATCACGACGTAGTRATATTGGGCAGTTTGTCCCGTTATTAGCGAATTTGAGTAGCATGCTTAACCCTGTATTGTAYAACATATTCAATAGACCCTTTAGGACAAGGTTTCGGGAATTAATATTGTCACCAAGTCCCTCAACACAACGTGTAGTACCAGTAGTATCGTCATGAGCTGTATAAACCAAATACCAGGAAAGATGGTTTGTGGAGACATTTGAATGGGAAACTGACGAAAGTATCCCTGCTATCTGAGAAAGAAGTTGCGTCGTAACCGTCGGTGTACTAAGGCGGCCGCTTAAAGTTGTGAAAATGTGTGAGATTCTCCACACAATAAAGTCACAATAAAGATKAACAGACACTTAACCCGTGACTAAGGTAGTCAATCTTTACTTGTAGTAATTATATAATTTCATTCACGGGTTAAGTGCCAATATATTGCGGTTTCTTATTCATTTCAAACACAATTTCCAATTATTAAATTTTGAGACAGCAAACAAACAGCATTTGTAATATCGTTACATGTATATTTCTTCACAGCGTTCATAATCAAATCAATACAAACATTGTCCTTTACATACCAATCTCAAAAAATAGATCTTCACAAAGTATCAAAAGCGCAGAGTAATTCACAAAAATTGTTTATGACATTTCGTTCAATTATTTCTCCATTTGTGCAGCAGTTGAGTTTCCTTTTAACAGTAAACATGATATTTCATATTAAGTYATTACGTTGAATGGTGTAGTTGAACCAATCAAATCACGTTCGTCGAGTGCTTCGTACTGCTCTTTGACTGACGTCTAAGCTCATTTCAGACAAACGAGTCTCGAAGAAAGCCGAGAGCCGAACACCTGCTCGGGCTTCCTTCGCCCTTGGTCGGAAATGTTCGGCACAATCTATGAATACTTTCCTTACGTCTGAAATGAAATCGTCAACAGTGTTGTAGGCGTTCTCTTGTATATTTGTTTTTATGGTACCAAGGTCTATGGGACTTCCATTGTAGTTTGGATACTAAAACAAAAGAAAAGTTACATAAGATATATAATACTACGARCTAGCGCTGAGCCGACAGTAGTCATAGCCAGTGCGGAGTGGGTTTCAAAGTCCTTTCTTAGCAGTAAAAACCTAAACTAGGTTATAATAACTAATGTGTCCAAATACCTTAGCAAGACTAATAGGATCCAGGAAGAATTCAGCATCGACATGCTGCATGACCTCGTCGACAAGCTTTCCACATTTTATCATTCTACCCGTTAGACGAGGATCCCGTTTACTCCTTACAGGAGATGGAGAACGCGACGAATCAACAGAAGAACGACCATTTAATCGCAGAGATGTCGGGAGATGACGCTTTCTTCTCGATGATGCTGGARCAGACGATATTGATGATGTAGGGGAAGATTCTCGTGTTCTCTGCCGTTTTGATGARCTGKTGTTGCTGTCTTTTTGYACCCKTTTTTTGGATTTTGACTTGGCTGTACTTGACTTTTTACTGTTTTTCTGCTTTTCTTTCTCTTTCACGTTGTTAAGTGCAGCTACAAACAAAAAAACGAAGTTTTAGTTTGACTAGTAACTGTCGATCAAGGGAACCAYAGTAACTGTYGATCAAGGKGATGATTTATTTCACCTTTGATAGTTGACTTTTTAACTCGCCGTTTTTTCGGTCGTTCATCGTCAGCTCCGGTGCACACTTGACACGCCCAGCTGCCACGTGGTATACGTCGTAATGGTGGGTATGCACACTCCATATGATATGCTAGAGGACAGACGTCACARCACAACAACTCKCCATCTTCCTCGCACAAAGCACAYAAATCAACATGCTCTGATCCTGCGTCACTCGCGTCTGTAAAGAATATCAATCCAAATAGAATCAGTCATAGATCTAATTACACAGTTTGCTAAAGATGTGAGCAATAAATAATGGAATTGACATTATATAAAACTCGCTAGTACAAGGGGAAAAATAAAAAAAATGATGCTAGTTTACCGTCACTATTTTCTTCAAACTCGCTCTCTTCCTCTGACTCTTCCTCATCTTCGCTGTCATCTTCTTCTTCCTCTTCCTCATAGTCGTCTTTTGCAGGTGTCCTTCGACGACGTTCACTGCGTCGAGGCTCTTTAGGACGACAATCAGGACAAAACCAGTTTCCTTCCGGTATCTAATGAAAATCAAAAGAATAAATAACAAATGGGAAGCGAATAGAAAGTTGGACAAGAGCAACTAATCGCAGTGTTTTGACTTTGTCTTACCTCTTTGATTGGTGGCTTCAGGCAATACATATGATGTCCACGATCACAAGCGTCACACAGCAACATCTTCTCACCGTCACCTTTTCTGCGACACAGTCGACACCTTGCGTTCAATATAGACTTACTCCATGTTATGGACCCGTCTAGAGTGTTTAAATGAACAAATACTTGAGACAAGCTAGAACATGCCGTAAGTGATTCCTCCCATCTTTCAAGGCAAGTCTTTTGTTTACTAGGGATGTCTTGTGTAGAAGAATTACTGCTGTTATCGTCATCGTCTTCTTTCTTCTCATCTCCATCTTTGTCATCTTTTGTTTTACTATCGACATCTTTGTCTGTTTTCTTGGATTTTTTCTTTTTGTTTTCATCTGTAGTCTGCATCATCTCGTTAAACTCGGCTAAGGCCAAAGCTGCAGCATCTTTCTGTCTTTGACGCTTTGTCTCTTCATCTTCACCGAGTGGTAGACTTAGATACTTGGATTCGATGCCTTGCTCGACCTTAAACAGGATGAAGATCACGATTATCAATGTCTGTTTGTAGAATAATGTCGGCCTTACTAGAACAATCACTTTTTACGTTATGAGACCATCAGATCATTATCATAATTATCATCTACATACCATCATTTTTCTAAACAAAGGCACGTACTTCACAGTACAACAAGGAAATCAAGCCAGCCAATACAAGCTTACCTTCAACAAAGCTAAAGCCAGTTCTTTCACAGCTGGATTTACCGGCATGGAGGTTGGGGCCAAGCTTATCACAGGCGTGCCGGTGCGTGATTGGTCGGGTGAGACAGATGGTTGGTTAAGATTCAGCTTAAGATGGCTCGGGATAGATGAGAAACGAGACTCTTTTTGATCCTCTACCTTTGTCAATTCTGGATCATTTYCCTCATCTTTTGAATCGCCATTGGATACTACCTTACTATCTTCAGCATTTTCATTTTTCACGTCTACTAGGTCATGTTTGAGTTCTTTTTCARTGTTCATAGGCTGAGGGCTTTCGAAATTTCCATTCAACAGAGACTCGTCTTTTTCATCTTTCATCTCAACATCATTGTTGCCGTTTTCAGTTTTAATTTCAACCATGTTGTCCTTGAGATGGCTGTAAATACCATTCTCGASCTTTACCCTCCATGCAATACGGTCTTCCACCTTAGTCGATCCAAGTCCTCCCTGCCAGATACGGTCTTCGAGGTCTAGGATCTGGTCACGTAGATTTGCTTCTAAAAACTCTTCAGTGATTTTGTAGCGAYTTCTATCAATGGTCTGTTGTTTTCTAGGCCTGGATTTCGGGATTTTTTTCTGTGGGACGAAATCTTCTCTGAAAGGACATTTTTCAATGGTTTTCGTCAAATACCGATAATCGGATTGTAACGCTTCACGTAGCATACGCTCGCGATAGCCACGTGGATTTAACGCGTTTATAAGTCCATCAAAGTCTTGTTGTTCGGCAATGAACGACCATCGCATTCTTCCATCTCTYGCGCCGTATTTATCGATGATTTCTGCTCTTTTTAACTGTTTTATTCTGGTTTCTTTTAGCTTCTTTTCATCGACTTCGCTTTTCTTACCGTCTCCCTCAATGTCTTTTTCTCCATCATCCTACACAAACCAACAGAGACTAAGTTTATACTCAGTATCGCATCACGAAACGTTATGTGGTATTGCCCTCCTCAGCAGCCGCGTGGCTGATGGGTGCGGAGGAGGTTAATTTGTTATTAAGTACCCAGGCTTATCCCGTTTCGCTTACGATCTCATCTCAACGAAATTCAACAAACGCATTCTTACCTCACAGTTTTCTTCTTCTTCAAATATAGTCTCCAAAAACAGTGGTAAATCAGGATCATCTTCCTCCACGTACAGACCTTTGACAGACCTAAACGACCAGTAACGACGATAGATTCTATCTCGTCCTAAAGGCTGAATACTACTCATGGCTACTGCTTTTCGCGTTTCTTCGAGGTATTCCTGTTCTCGGCGTTCACGGTCGACTTTTTTTTGTAACGCGATTTGTTCTTCTTCCTCTTTCGTTAGTACAGCTGGCTCGTCTGGTAATAGAAAGATAAATATTAAGAATGACTGCTGCTCAATCATCCATCCAAGATTTTATTCAATATTTCATCCGCCTGTTTGATGGTTCATCATTACTATTASAGTATTACTATTATTATCATTATTATTATTTCGTTTTTATTAGTTTTTTTAAACAACAGCTATATTGTAATGTATATATCATTTATTTTTTTACTTTTTTTAATCTATTTATTTAGTTAGTTATGTATCATCTGACTTTGTACCTTGTTTCGTTTTGTCATCTTCAACAGGCTTCTCATTTGATTTATTTACATCTTTTCCTTTATCTTCTGAAACCTTTTCCGTTTCTTTGTTTCCTTTTTTCTTGCCTTTGCCTTTCTTTGATTCTTTAGTCGTCTCCTGCTTGGCTTCCTCTTGGACACTRAGGACAAAATTTTTTTGTAAGACTTCAAACACAAAACATTAACAACATAAAGAACAACAGAAGAAATAGCAACCAAAAACAACAGTAAAAAGAATGGAAGCTAACAGTAACAATATCAAGCCAAAATACAGTGTAAAAATGTTKATGCTACCTCGAATCTTTACTGTTTTGCTTGCCATCTTTCCCATCCTCTTGRTTCTTTTCATTCTCTTTTTCTTTTTTCTTTCTCTCTATTTCTTCCTTTAGTTTCATTCGTTCTTCTTGTCGTTTACGATATCGAGCAGCTGCTTCTTCTTTCTCTCTTCTCTGTTCAGCCCACTGATCAGAAATCCATTCACGACGAGCCTTCTTAAGCCTGGATAACAAGGTTAACAATAAAATAATTAAAACAAAATCTGTGTAAATTCTGTCACAATTATTAAAATAGTTCACATTAATACCAAAATTGCATTTATCAATCATTAGTTACAAGTGCAARAAATATAATTATATTCATACTTGTCAAAACCATCTTCAACAAATTCTCTGGAGGTAGCATAAGTCATGAGTTGACCACACAAAGCTGAGAGAATCTTGAGCTTTTCATCAGCAGAAAGGTCATAGACTGAACCAGTCATCAGGTATTTCATGATACCAGGCTCACGATGACGAAACTCTACACCAACRTCATCAGCATATGTGAAACCACCACGACTCTGCCATCGGTACTCAGCATCCCCRCAACCTTTAAATGCAACAAGAAATCAATATACAATRCAATTTACTTATACCAGTTATSATAGAGGAAAAGAATTCCATACCAACTCGAGCTCCRGAGGAAAGAAGATGAAGCCTCAGTAGTTCTGTACATGTGTATGGATCCATGATCAACTCATGAAGAGGTTTTCCCTGGTGAAGCATGGGCCATACTGCAGCYATTGCAGCTGATGCTGACACCTTTGCAGTGTGATTATCTTCATCATCTAAATCAAGTGGATTATGAGAGTTTTCAAGTCCTTCTTCCTCCTCCTCATCCATGTGTGTCCTGAGTATTGCTCCCAGAAGGAACTGAAGAAGGTCGTAGTAAACACCTTCTGGGTCAGTTTCAGCCAGAGCCTCCTCAAGCATTGCTGGCAGAAGAAACAAATGTTAGCAATTGACATTATAAATGATTAATAACACATACA